TGGTGAATTGGGTTGTGCATATGCAGATGGATGTAATAGTGCTGAAGAAATCATTTTGGCTGCTTACTCACGTGGAATGGCTACTTTAGAGACGGACATCATTAATGGTGCAATGGCAGCTGTTGGATTGGGACATGAAGAACTGAAAGAAATTCTTATTGATGGCATTGAAATTGCTTGTCACAACAGTTCCAATTCATCAACAATTTCTGGTCCATATGAGCTTGTTGCTGGATTTATTGAGCAATTGAAGGAGAAGAAAATCTTCGTAAAGGAAGTAAATTCATCAAATATTCCATATCACAGCTCATACATCTCACAAATGGGACCAAAACTTCTTGCACGTCTCAATGAGATCATCAAAAATCCCAAAGAACGTTCATCGAAGTGGCTCAGTACAAGTATTCCTAAAGATGAGGTAGATCAGGAACAGCACAGCAACTTGTCATCAGCTGAATATCACACAAATAATCTCTTGAATCCAGTTCTATTCCAAGAAGCACTTGACATGTTACCCAAGGATGCATTGACTATTGAAATAGCTCCGAGTGGATTATTGCAAGCTATTTTGAGACGAGCACTGCCTGATGGCGTTCATGTTAGCTTGACAAAAAAGAACGAGAAGGAAAATTCGATCAATTTGATGGCTTCGCTTGGAAAGTAAGTTCTGGCTTGATCTTCCTTAATATTGAGCTGATAATTTTATTTCCTTTCAGGATCTTCCAAAATGGCGTGGACATGGATTTAAGTAATTTATATCCACCTGTTGACTTTCCAGTCTCTAGAGGAACTCCAATGATATCACCGCTCATCAAATGGGATCACAGCCAGAGTTTTAATCAATTTAAAATTGAGGATATTGAAGTTAATGAAATGAAAGCTGTTTTCAACCTTCGAGATCCAAACTTTGATTTCTTGACTGGACATAAGATTGAAGGTAAAGATCCCTAATCCCAAATTATGATTTTCAAACCAAATCTGATTCTAATTGGAATATTTTTGCATTTACGAAGGAAAAACAATATTTCCAGCAACAGGTTACCTTTACATAGCTTGTCGCTTAGCAGCAGGTCACTATAAAATGAGATTCGAAGATTGTGATGTGGAAATTGAGGATATGAAATTCTTGAATGCATGTTTTATCACTCCAGATAAAGAGACGGTCTTAACAGCTGTGATTCAAAGTGGTGATGGCAAATTTGAAGTACGTGAAGGCAAGACTTTAATGTGTTCAGGCTTTATTCGCAAGTTAGCAACACCTTTAACACCATATGAGAAACCAGACAATTCTGATGTCACTGATATGACTACCGAAGAGTTTTATAAGGAACTCCGCATTCGTGGATATCACTACGATAAAATGTTTAGATCAGCCACTAGAGCAAAGTCAGACGGAAGTGAATTGACCGTTAAATGGCACAACAATTGGATTGCATTTATGGACAACTTAGCGCAGATGATTATCATTCAGAAAGACACAAGATCACCAGTTGTACCAACAAGAGTTCGTCGTATTATCATCAAACCCAAAGAGTTCCTTGCTGGACTTGAAAAGACTGATGATGGAGAAGAATTCTCTACTGGATACTATATTAAGCATCTTGACATGATCAGGTGTCATGGATTAGAGTTCAGAGGTTTTGGGTTCTTGCCAATTCCTAAACGACCTCAAGATGGCAATCTAGTACTTCAAAACTATCGATTTATTCCTTACAATCCAACTCCAGTGATGTCACAAAATGATGCTGGAAGCTTCTGTGTCCAACTGGCACTTGAGAATTCTCAATTATTAAAAATTAAAAGCATTGAACTTGATTCTGGTGACAACAAGTCTATTTTTAATGAAAGCTTTGCTTCTGCGATTGCAAAAGTTCCGATTATTGGTGCTGAGCTGACATACTTAACAGATGGAGAATTAGAAGAGAAACCATTGGCTATTGAGGTTAAGAAACTTAATTCTTTCGAAAATATCAGTCAAGTAGACTTCATCATTAACTCAAACTGCACAAATGATCAAGAATTCTTGACAAAAGTACAGGAAAAGTTAAACGATGGCGGATTTTTGGTATCAAGAGAAACAAATGACTTTGAAGTCGTTCATAAGATGCCTGAGACATTCAAACTCATTGCTCAAATCCAATTGGACGCTGAAAATCTGCTCGTCTTTAAGTTCTTAAAAAATCCAGCATCAATTCCAACAGCATCCATCAAAATCACATCGAATGACTTCTCATGGCTTGAAAAAGTCAAAGAAAGTGTCAAAACGGAACCGACAATTTTATATTCAGAAGGTGAAAGTGAGTCTGGCATTTTGGGACTTGTCAATTGCATCAGAAGAGAACCTGCTGGTAAGGATGTCAAGTGTGTCTTCATTGATGATCCAAAAGCACCCGAGTTTGATGTCGAGAATGAGTTTTATAGGAAGCAGTTGGAGAAGGGATTGGCGATGAATGTATACAGGAATGGACAATGGGGTTCTTATCGTCATCTAGATTTAGAACCACACATCATCAAGGAAGTAACAGAGAACACAATAGCAGTTGCTGAAATTCCAACGCGTGGTGACTTCTCATCCTTGAAATGGTTCGAAGGTCCTCTAAGATTCAAACACAAAGATGAGCTCGTGACAGTCCATTATGCAGCACTGAATTTTAAAGACATTATGCTTGCAACTGGTCGTGTACCACCGACACTGTTTGGAGATCAGCGCATTGATCAACAACAGATGTTAGGCTACGAATACACAGGCATCACATCCAAAGGACGTAAAGTTATGGGAGTGATTCCAAAAAGTGCCTTGGCAACACACATCATGCCTGAAGACAACTTGTGCTTAGACCTTCCTAATGGCTGGAGTATGGAAGATGGAGCAACTGTATTTGCTACTTATGGAACTGCATTCATGGGACTCTTCATTAAGGCTAAAGTGAAGAAAGGAAATTCAATATTGATTCATGCAGGTTCCGGTGGAGTTGGCCTAGCTGCTATTCATCTAGCTTTTGCTATGGAAATGGAAGTCTTCACAACAGTCAGCACAGATGAGAAGAAAAATTATTTATTAGAACTATTCCCAAAGTTGAGACCTGAAAATATTGGAAATTCAAGAGACACAAGCTTTGAAGACATGATAATGAGGAACACGCATGGAAAAGGCGTTGACTTCGTGCTCAATTCACTAGCTGATGACAAGCTGCTTGCTTCATTGAGATGTGTCGGAAAAAATGGAACTTTTGTGGAAATTGGCAAGTCAGACATCTTCAGAGACAACAAGATTAATCTAGCACATTTTGCAAAGGAAATAACTTTCCTGTCACTTAACATAGACATGGTCCTAAGAACAGAAAAGAAAAAGTTTCAAGAATTTTGGAACGAATCACTCAAGAAGAATCTAGTAAAACCTCTCAAAGCAACTGTCTTTAATGCTGATCAGCTAGAAGAAGCTTTTAGATTCCTAGCAAGTGGTAAGCATATTGGAAAAGTTCTGATTAGGATGTGTGATGAGAGCGGCTCTCTTGTAAAGGAAGTAACTCCTCGAGTCTTCTTCAATCCTCAACATGCTTACATCATTTGTGGTGGTCTTGGTGGATTTGGAATGGAACTTGCTGACTGGATGATCATAAGAGGATGTCGAAAGATTGTTTTGAGTTCAAGTCGTGGTGTTGTTGATGGATATCATGAATATAAGTTCAGGTTAGTTCCATTTACTAGATTAAATGGTTTTTGGATACGAGTTTGAGTAATTATGAAGCCATTGCTGCTCAATAGACTTATAAACCTCATTTTTAACAATATTTCATTATCATCTTTGCAGTTTATGGAGATCCTACGGCGTAGACATCAAAGTAAGTACAGCAGACATTACAACAGCTTCAGGATGTCAACAACTCATCAAAGAAGCATCAGAACTTGGACCAGTTGGAGGAATCTTCAATCTTGCAGCCAAGCTTAATGATGCAATCCTTGAGAACCAAACCGTCGAGTCATTTGAACTGTGTATGGCAGCAAAAGCAACAGCAACGAAGCTTTTGGATGAAATTTCAAGAAAGCATTGCAAGAATTTGCAGCACTTTGTAGTCTTTTCAAGTGTCTCATGTGGTCTTGGCAATGCTGGTCAAAGTAATTATGGAATGGCAAATTCAGTCATGGAACGAATCATTGAGACTCGAAGACATGACAATTTACCAGCAAAAGCAATTCAATGGGGAGCAATTGGAGATGTTGGAATAGTTGCAAGACTTATGGCTGACAAAAATGCAGCATCAGACATGGAAATTAGTGGAACATTGATGCAAAGCATTTTCTCATGTCTTGAAGTTCTTGACAGCTTACTTACATCAAAAGGAGCAATTGTTACAAGCATGGTTGTTGCTGAGAAAATCAGTGTTGCTGGTGGACGAGCTGGAATGTTGCAGCAACTTCTTAATGTGTTAGGAATCAAAGACATCAACGCATATCCAAAAGACACAAAGATTGTAGATTTTGGAATGGATTCACTATTGACTGTTGAGGTGCTACAGCATGCAGAGAAGGAACTAAATGTTCAATTGACAGTTGATGATCTGAGGTCAATGACACTTGCTCAATTCATAGAAATGACAAAAGAAGGTGCCAAACCACCATTGAATAAGGAAACTAAGGATGTTGGAGATGCTGAAACAAATTCTATAGTCTCTAAGGCAAATTATACATAGACTTAAGAATAAGATTACTTTATGTTTATAATTTAAATAAAATTAAGAATAAAATGTTGAAAAGTCTTGAAAATATCAAAACAATGGAAAAAAGTTTCTCTTAACATTCGTCCTTGCAAGACCGGTTCAATAACTTCTTGTCTGCATCTGGTGAAATTTCTTTCAAGTTTTAATTGCAGGCTGACTATCAAGATTGTTTTAAAAATTGGTCATCCAGAATTTTAAAAAGGAAGACATTTTAAGGTCAACTTAATGCTCAGAATTTTTATTTAAAAAGTTTAAAAATTTCACCAAAAAGTGCGCAGATAGACAGCCTAGTTTAAGTGATGCAATGCAACTTTATCTCAGCATTTATTGCAGTCAAGATCACAGCATCTCGGTGTATATAAGCAACATAATTTTTTCACTTGGCTCAAAATCTTTTAGTTATTGTGTCAAGTTGTTGATATTGAGAAGGTTCAAGAGTGTTAAAAAAATATTTAAAAAGAAATAAAAATGGAATCAACTTTTGATAATTCCACCACAAATAGATACTCAAACCAACTTCCAGAACTCACCGAAGATACCGTCGTCATCTCTGGAATGTCTGGTCGCTTTCCTAAGTCTCGAACTATCGCTGATTTTAAGTACAACCTCTACAATAAGATTGACATGGTTGAGCCATGCGTTGATCAGTGGAAAGCAATAAATGAAGTGGTTCCTGATAGATATGGACAGACTGTTGATATTGACAAGTTTGATGCTGCATTTTTCTCGATCCATGCTGAGTTTGGCAATTATATGGATCCACAAGGTAGAATGATACTTGAGCATGTCTATGAATCAATCCTTGATGCTGGAATTTGTCCTAAAACCTTGCGAGGAAGCAATACTGGAGTTTTTGTTGGATGCTGCTTTGTTGATGCTCATGAAGCTTGCATTCGTGACAGAAGTGGAAAGGAGTTGACTGGATCATTGAGAACTTTACTGGCTAATCACATATCATATGCAATGGACTTCAAAGGACCTTCATTTGTCATCGATACGGCTTGCAGTAGCAGTGGATATGCTGCTGACGTTGCACTTAAATCTTTGCAAAATGGAGAATGTGACCAGGCAATATTGGCGGGAACTAATCTTCTTTTGGGACCAACTTTAAGTCTTGTGTTCTTGAGGTTAGTTCGTTCATATTAATTTAATGCTGTGAGTGTTTAGCCTTCCTATGTTACTTCTATAGAATGGGTGTGCTTTCAAAAGATGGACATAGTAGAACATTCGATGAAGATGCTAGTGGCTACTGTCGAGCTGATGGAATTGTTTCCATATTCTTACAAAAATCAAAAGATGCAAAGCGAATTTATGCAAGATTTATTCATGGAAAGAAGAATGTGGATGGTTTTAAGCCTGAAGGATTTCCATTTCCATCAAGACGAATGCAAACGAAACTTATTGAGCAGTTCTACAAAGAAATCAATTTGAATCCTAACATGGTTGACTATGTTGAGGCTCACAGCACTGGAACTAAGGTATGATTCTCATTTGACTACGATTTTAGTATTTTAATTAAAATTTCTCTACTAGGTTGGCGATCCTGAGGAATGTGCTGGTCTAGATCATGTTATGTGTACCAACCGAGTTGGACCTCTCTTACTAGGTTCAGCAAAGTCAAATATGGGACATTCAGAAGGAGCATCAACAGCATGTTCTATCGTTAAGTCATGCTTGGCTTTCGAGAACAGAAAACTAGCTCCAAATTTGCACATCAATAAAGTGAGATCTGGAATTCCAGCATTTGAGGAAGGAAGAATCAAAGTTGTAGACGAGGTTCAAGAATTTAATGGATCACTGATTGGCGTCAATGCATTTGGAGTCGGCGGCGCTAATGTTCATCTTCTACTTCAAGCACATGACAAAGAAAAAGTTCAAAAGGGTATTCCAGCTGATGACTTACCTAGGATGGTCTTGTGGAGTGGAAGAACTGAAGAAGCCATCAATACAATCTTTGATAACCTAGAAAGTACACAACTTGATGCTGAACACATTGCTTTACTCCAAAATACACAAGTTCAAACAGCAAGTCTCAATACTTATCGAGGATATGGAATCTTTAACCATAATCACGATGATGGAACTACGAGCTGTTTAGGCAAAAGTATTATAAACAATCTGGAAGCTAAAAGATCTATTGTTTGGGTCTACACTGGAATGGGAGCTCAATGGTAAGATTCTCGATCATTTTAGTGCAACAATCCGCTAACCCAAAACTAAGATTCAGACCTTTTATGGACCTTATGCAATGTTTATGAAACCAAATCTTTTATTTCCCATTCACAGGACTCAAATGCTGTCGGATTTGCAGAAAATTCCACTTTTCAATGCCTCAATCAACAAGTGTCATGAAGTTCTTCTTCAAAAAGACATCAACTTAATTGAAATTTTATCGTCAGTAGATGAAAAAATGCTCGAAAATGTTGTGCATGCGTATGTAGGAATTGCAGCAATTCAAATTGGATTAACAGATGTATTGAGAGCATTGGATATAAGTCCTGACTATATAATTGGTCATTCAGTTGGTGAATTGGGTTGTGCATATGCAGATGGATGTAATAGTGCTGAAGAAATCATTTTGGCTGCTTACTCACGTGGAATGGCTACTTTAGAGACGGACATCATTAATGGTGCAATGGCAGCTGTTGGATTGGGACATGAAGAACTGAAAGAAATTCTTATTGATGGCATTGAAATTGCTTGTCACAACAGTTCCAATTCATCAACAATTTCTGGTCCATATGAGCTTGTTGCTGGATTTATTGAGCAGCTGAAGGAGAAGAAAATTTTCGTAAAGGAAGTAAATTCATCAAATATTCCATATCACAGCTCATACATCTCACAAATGGGACCAAAACTTCTTGCACGTCTCAATGAGATCATCAAAAATCCCAAAGAACGTTCATCGAAGTGGCTCAGTACAAGTATTCCTAAAGATGAGGTAGATCTGGAACAGCACAGCAACTTGTCATCAGCTGAATATCACACAAATAATCTCTTGAATCCAGTTCTATTCCAAGAAGCACTTGACATGTTACCCAAGGATGCATTGACTATTGAAATAGCTCCGAGTGGATTGTTGCAAGCTATTTTGAGACGAGCACTGCCTGATGGCGTTCATGTTAGCTTGACAAAAAAGAACGAGAAGGAAAATTCGATCAATTTGATGGCTTCGCTTGGAAAGTAAGTTCTGGCTTGATCTTCCTTAATATTGAGCTGATAATTTTATTTCCTTGCAGGATCTTCCACAATGGCGTGGACATGGATATTAGTAAGTTGTATCCACTTGTTGAGTTTCCAGTCTCTAGAGGAACTCCAATGATATCACCACTTATCAAATGGGATCACAGCCAAAGTTTTAGCAAGTTTAAGCTTGAAGATATTGAAGTTAATGAAATGAAAGCAGTTTTGACACTGCGAGATCCAAACTTTGAGTTTCTAACTGGACACAAACTTGAAAGTAAATATTTTTGCGATTATGTCTTAACTTGAAATTAAGATTTTTAATCTTTTAAATAAATTGTTAATTTTTGATAATGCTTACAGACAAGATGATCTTCCCAGCAACAGGTTATCTCTACCTTGCCTGCCGTTTAGCAGCAGCTCATTACAAGAAGAGATTTGAGGAATTTGATGTTGAATTTGAAGACATAAAATTCCTGAATGCCTGCTTTGTTAGTCTGGATAAGGAAACAGTCCTTAGCATCGTCTTTCAAGGTGGTGATGGAAGGTTTGAGGTCAAAGAAGGCAAAACTTTGATGTGTACAGGCTTTATTCGTCCAACAACAGCTAAACTGACACATTATGATAAACCTGACAATTCATCAATTCCTGACATGTCACCTGATGACTTTTACAAAGAACTTCGCATTCGCGGCTATCATTATGAAAGATTATTCAAATCCGTTGTTTCAGCAAAGTCTGATGGAAGTGAAGTCAAGGTTAAATGGGAAAATAATTGGATCGCATTTATGGACAATCTGGCACAGATGATTATCATTCAAAAGGATTTAAGGACTCCAGTGGTTCCGACAAGAGTTCGTCGTGCTATTTTGAAGCCAAGTGAACATTTGGATGGCTTAAAAAAGCTACAGAATTCTACAGACGAAGTCATTGGAACTGCTTACTATATTAAAGATCTTGACATGATCAGAAGCGATGGAATGGAATTTAGGGGACTTGGATTCTTGCCAATTCCTAAACGACCTCAAGATGGTAATCTAGTACTTCAAAACTATCGATTTATTCCTTACAATCCAACTCCAGTGATGTCACAAAATGATGCTGGAAGCTTCTGTGTCCAACTGGCACTTGAAAATTCACAATTATTAAAGATTAAATGCATTGAACTCGATTCTGGTGACAGCAAGTCTATTTTTAATGAAAGCCTTGCTTCTGCAATTGCAAAAGTTCCGATTATTGGTGCTGAGCTGACATACTTAACAGATGGAGAATTAGAAGAGAAACCATTGGCTATTGAGGTTAAGAAACTTAATTCTTTCGAAAATATCAGTCAAGTAGACTTCATCATTAACTCAAACTGCACAAATGATCAAGAATTCTTGACAAAAGTACAGGAAAAGTTAAACGATGGCGGATTTTTGGTATCGAGAGAGACAAATGAGTTTGAAGTCATACACAAGATGCCTGAGACATTCAAGCTCATTGCTCAAATCCAATTGGAAGCTGAAAACCTGCTCTTTTTTAAGTTCTTAAAAAATCCAGCATCAATTCCAACAGCATCCATCAAAATCACATCGAATGACTTCTTATGGCTTGAAAAAGTCAAAGAAAGTGTCAAAACGGAACCGACCATTTTATATTCAGAAGGTGAAAATGAGTCTGGAATTTTGGGACTTGTCAACTGCATCAGAAGAGAACCTGCTGGTATGGATGTCAAGTGTGTCTTCATTGATGATCCAAAAGCACCCAAATTTGATGTCGAGAATGAGTTTTATAGGAAGCAGTTGGAGAAGGGATTGGTGATGAATATATACAGGAATGGACAATGGGGTTCTTATCGCCATCTAGATTTAGAGCCACACATCATCAAGGAAATAACAGAGGACACTATAGCAGTTGCTGAGATTGTAACACGTGGTGACTTCTCATCCTTGAAATGGTTCGAAGGTCCTCTAAAATTCAAACACAAAGATGAGCTCGTGACAGTCCATTATGCAGCACTGAATTTTAGAGACATCATGTTAGCAACTGGTCGTGTACCAACTACCCTGTTTGGAGATAAAAGAATAGATCAACAACAAATTCTGGGATTTGAGTTTACAGGAATCACATCAAAAGGAAGAAGAGTCATGGGTATTGTACCAAAAAGTGCTCTAGCTACTCATGTATTACCAGATGTAATACTGGATATACCAAAAGGATGGAGCATGGAAGATGGAACAACAGTTTTCGGAACATTCGGAACTGTCTTCCTTGGCTTATTTGTTAAGTCTCAAATTAAGAAAGGAAATTCAATACTGATTCATGCAGGTTCCGGTGGAGTTGGCCTAGCTGCTATTCATCTAGCTTTTGCTATGGAAATGGAAGTCTTCACAACAGTCAGCACAGATGAGAAGAAAAATTATTTATTAGAACTATTCCCAAAGTTGAGACCTGAAAATATTGGAAATTCAAGAGACACAAGCTTTGAAGACATGATAATGAGGAACACGCATGGAAAAGGCGTTGACTTCGTGCTCAATTCACTAGCTGATGACAAGCTGCTTGCTTCATTGAGATGTGTTGGGAAAAACGGAACTTTTGTGGAAATTGGCAAGTCAGATATTCTTAGAGATAATAAGATTAATCTTGGAAACTTTGCTAGAGACATAACCTTCTTGTCATTAAATATTGACATATATGCAAAAGTCACAACTTCGGAAAGAAAGGTAAGAACATGCTTTTTTAACTAATTGCAATAAAACAGCTTATCGTTCATATTTATTTAGAAATTCTTGAGCTTTGTTAAGGACTCAATTAAGAAAAAGATCATCAAGCCTCTGAAATGTACAGTCTTTAATGCAAATCAGTTAGAAGAAGCTTTCAGATTCCTAGCAAGTGGCAAGCATATCGGAAAAGTTGTTCTTAAAATTCGCGACGGTAATATCCTTCTGATAAAGGAAGTAACTCCTCGAGTCTTCTTCAATCCTCAAAATGCTTACATCATTTGTGGTGGTCTTGGTGGATTTGGAATGGAACTTGCTGACTGGATGATCATAAGAGGATGTCGAAAGATTGTTTTGAGCTCAAGTCGAGGTATCATTGATGGATATCATGAATATAAGTTCAGGTTAGTTCCAGTTACTAGATTAAATGGTTTTTGGATACGAGTTTGAGTAATTATAAAGCTATTGCTACTCAATTGACTTATGAACCTGATTTTTAACAACATTTCATTATCATCTTTGCAGTTTATGGAGATCCTACGGCGTAGACATCAAAGTAAGTACAGCAGACATTACAACAGCTTCAGGATGTCAACAACTCATCAAAGAAGCAGCAGAACTTGGACCAGTTGGTGGAATCTTCAATCTTGCAGCCAAGCTTAATGATGCAATCCTTGAGAACCAAACCGTCGAGTCATTTGAACTGTGTATGGCAGCAAAAGCAACAGCAACGAAGCTTTTGGATGAAATTTCAAGAAAACATTGCAAGAATTTGCAGCACTTTGTAGTCTTTTCAAGTGTCTCATGTGGTCTTGGCAATGCTGGTCAAAGTAATTATGGAATGGCAAATTCAGTCATGGAACGTATCATTGAGACTCGAAGACATGACAATTTACCAGCAAAAGCAATTCAATGGGGAGCAATTGGAGATGTTGGAATAGTTGCAAGACTTATGGCTGACAAAAATGCAGCATCCGACATGGAAATTAGTGGAACATTGATGCAAAGCATTTTCTCATGTCTTGAAGTTCTTGACAGCTTACTTACATCAAAAGGAGCAATTGTTACAAGCATGGTTGTTGCTGAGAAAATCAGTGTTGCTGGTGGACGAGCTGGAATGTTGCAGCAACTCTTAAGAGTGTTAGGAATCAAAGACATCAACGCATATCCAAAAGACACAAAGATTGTTGATTTTGGAATGGATTCACTGTTGACTGTTGAGGTGCTACAGCATGCAGAGAAGGAACTAAATGTTCAATTGACAGTTGATGATCTGAGGTCAATGACATTGGCGCAGTTGTTGGAATTGACGAAGGAAGATGGAAAGCCTCTTGTTATGGTAGAAGATAAGGAAGATAAAGGCAAGATCGAGGATAACACTGTTAATAAAGTTGAAAATTAAAAGGATTGGGGAAAATATAAATATTGGGCATTTGAACTCATTAGGATGGTGGCTAGCCTTGCTTAAGGTTGATACTCATGCTATACATTACTTAGCTGTAATTTTAATATTTTAATGCAAATAAATAAAATAAAAATATGTGAAAAATAATTTAAAAATATGTTTTTTAAATACAACAATCCGGTCAGCTAGACTAAAGTTCTCTTAAATATTCTGTACATTTTCGTTGCTTTAAAAAGCTGCTAAAATATTCACCAGCAGCAAAAAATATTTTAATTTTTTCACATTTTTTCTATCTTAATTAAAACAAATTTTTTAAAGTTAAACTTTCTTTCCTGAATTTAACAATTTAATATTCATGATATATTCATTCTCAGATATTATGAATTGGACAATTTTGACGGTCAATGTCAATTTTTTTTAAATAGAAATATTTTTTTTGCCATTAAAAATATGCAAAAATATTTCAGGAAATTTGTATAAAATGATGAGATAACGGTTGATGCTGTTTAGTCTGTGACTATCAGTTGGTTTGAAAACGTGTAAAACTAGTGCGAAAAAATTCAATTCAAAAACTGGATTTTCAAAATAATTTTAATGCAATAATCCGCTAACCCAAACCAGCAATCAAGGATTTTTAGATGCTTAGGTGTTTTAAACTAAAGAAAAAGTCAATTTTTAACCAAATCAATTCAAAACAATGTCATCGAACTCAACAACTGACACTGTCGTCATCTCTGGGATGTCTGGTCGCTTCCCAAAATCCCGAACAATTAACGAATTCAGACACAATTTATACAATAAAATAGACATGACATCACCATGCAGTCAACAGTGGAAAGTCATGGATGAATCAGTTCCAGACAGATATGGAAAGACTGTCGACATTGACAAGTTTGATTCTGAATTCTTTCCAGCACCATTGGAATACAAGAACTTGATGGATCCTCAAATGCGAATGATTCTTGAGCATTCATATGAAGCTATTCTAGATGCTGGAATAGCACCACCTTCTTTGCGTGGCACCAATATTGGAGTATTTGTTGGGTGCTGTTTTGTAGATGCACATGGTGTTGGTGTGCTTGATAAAGCTGGGAAGGAATTAGCTGGATCGTTAAGGACATTATCAGCCAACTGCATCTCCTACCTTTTTGACTTTAAAGGCCCTTCATTTGTGATTGATACAGCATGCAGTAGTAGTGGATATGCAGCTGATGTGGCACTTAAATCTATACAAAGTGGTGAATGTGATCAAGCAATTGTGGCTGGACTTAATCTGGTTCTATTGCCATCGTTAAGTGGCGGATTCTTAAAGTGAGTCAAAACTCTGAAAAATAAACTAGCCTTAAAAATATTTAATCCACAGAATTGGTGTCCTGTCAAAAGACGGGTACAGTCGGACATTCGATGAAGATGCAAATGGTTACTGTCGGGCTGAAGCCATTGTGGCCTTGTTTCTACAAAGATCAAAAGATGCAAAGCGAATCTATTCAAAATTTATTCACAGCAAAAAAAATGTCGACGGTTATAAAAGAGAAGGATTAGCATTTCCATCGCGAGTCATGCAAATTAGATTGCTTGATGAATTTTACAAAGAAATAGGAATTAACCCAAATTTTGTTGATTATGTTGAGGCACACAGCACTGGAACTAAGGTATGATTCACATTTGATGTCAACTTAATTATTTTCACTAATGATTTGCCTTAGGCTGGCGATCCTGAAGAATGTGCTGGGATGGATAAGGTTTTGTGCAGTAATAGAACTAAATCTTTGTTAATTGGCTCAGTTAAGTCTAACATGGGACATTCGGAAGGAGCATCAACAGCCTGTTCTATTGTCAAATCAGTTCTAGCATTTGAGACTAAGAAACTTGCTTCAAATTTGCATTTAAAGAAAATACGATCAGGCATTCCAGCATTTGAGGAAGGAAGAATCAACGTTGTGGATGAGGTTCTTGACTTTAATGGCTCATTAATCGGAATAAACTCGTTTGGAGTCGGCGGTGCTAATGTTCATCTTCTACTTCAAGCACATGATAAAGAAAAAGTCCACGATGGAATTCCAGCTGATGACTTGCCAAGGATGGTCTTGTGGAGTGGAAGAACTGAAGAAGCCATCAATACAATCTTTGAAAACCTGAAAAGTACACAACTTGATGCTGAACACATTGCTTTACTTCAAAATACACAAGTTCAAACAGCAAGTCTTAATACTTATCGAGGATATGGAATCTTTAACCATAATCACGATGATGGAACTACGAGCTGTTTAGGCAAAAGTGTAATAAACAATCTTGAAGCTAAAAGATCTATTGTTTGGGTTTATACTGGAATGGGAGCTCAATGGTAAGGATTCTCGGTCATTTTAGTGCAACAATACGATAACCCAAAACTGAGATTCAGACCTTTAATGGACCTTGTACAATGTTTATGACACCAGATCTTTTATTTTCCATTCACAGGACTCAAATGCTGTCGGACTTGCAGAAAATTCCACTTTTCAATGCCTCAATCAACAAGTGTCATGAAGTTCTTCTCAAAAAAGACATCAACTTAATTGAAATTTTATCGTCAGCAGATGAAAAAATGCTCGAAAATGTTGTGCATGCGTATGTAGGAATTGCAGCAATTCAAATTGGATTAACAGATGTATTGAGAGCATTGGATATAAGTCCTGACTATATAATTGGTCATTCAGTTGGTGAATTGGGTTGTGCATATGCAGATGGATGTAATAGTGCTGAAGAAATCATTTTGGCTGCTTACTCACGTGGAATGGCTACTTTAGAGACAAACATCATTAATGGTGCAATGGCAGCTGTTGGATTGGAACATGAAGAACTGAAAGAGATGCTTATTGATGGCATTGAAATTGCTTGTCACAACAGTTCCAATTCATCAACAATTTCTGGTCCATATGAGCTTGTTGCTGCATTTATTGAGCAATTGAAGGAGAAGAAAATTTTCGTAAAGGAAGTAAATTCATCAAATATTCCATACCACAGCTCATACATCTCACAAATGGGACCAAAACTTCTTGCACGTCTCAATGAGATCATCAAAAATCCCAAAGAACGTTCATCGAAGTGGCTCAGTACAAGTATTCCTAAAGATTTGTTAGATCAGGAACAGCATAGCAACTTGTCATCAGCTGAATATCACACAAATAATCTCTTGAATCCAGTTCTGTTTCAAGAAGCACTTGACATGTTACCCAAGGATGCATTGACTATTGAAATAGCTCCGAGTGGATTATTGCAAGCTATTTTGAGACGAGCACTGCCTGATGGCGTTCATGTTAGCTTGACAAAAAAGAACGAGAAGGAAAATTCGATCAATTTGATGGCTTCGCTTGGAAAGTAAGTTCTGGCTTGATCTTCCTTAATATTGAGCTGATAATTTTATTTCCTTGCAGGATCTTCCAAAATGGCGTGGACATGGATATTAGTAAGTTGTATCCACTTGTTGAGTTTCCAGTTTCTAGAGGAACTCCAATGATATCACCGCTCATCAAATGGGATCACCGTCATAGCTATGATGAATTTCGGTATGAAGATGTTGAAGTGAATGAGATGAAGCTCGTTATTAACCCTCGAGATCCAAATTTTGAGTACTTGACTGGACACAAGATTGAGGGTGCAATAGTTTTCCCAGCCAGTGGATATCTTCAATTAGCATACCGTATAGCAGCAGCTCATCATAAGAAGAGAATTGAAGACCTTGATGTAGAGTATGAAGATGTTAAATTCCTCAATGCCTGCTTCCTGAGTGTAGATAAGACAACGATCCTTAACATCACGTATCAAAGTGGTGATGGAAGGTTCGAAATACGAGAAGGAAAGACATTGATGTGTACAGGCTTCATTCGTTCAACAACTGCAAATTTAGCTCCATTTGAGAAACCAAACAACAGCTTAGTTCCAAACATGTCAGGAGAAGATTTGTATAAGGAACTCCGCATTCGTGGTTATCATTATGAAAAATCATTTAAATCTGTCGTTTCAGTAAAAGCTGATGGGACTGAAGTGAACATTAGGTACAATCATAATCTAATCCAATTTATGGATGCTTTGGCTCAAGGTGTCGTCATCCAAAAGGATCTAAAAACTGTTGTTGTGCCTTCAAGTTGTCGACGAATCATTTTAAAACCAAAAGAAATTGCAGAGTCATTTAAGAGACTTTATGACACAACAGGTGAGGTTGTAGCTACAGCTTACTATATCGAGCATTTAGATATGGTCAGATGTGATGGAATGGAGTTCAGAGGTATGGGATATTTACCAATTCCAAAACGAGTCCAGCCTGGAAAACTTGCATTAGCTAATTACAAATTTATTCCTCACAATCCAACACCAATTATGTCACAACATGATGGAATCAGCCTTTGTATGCGATTATCATTAGAATCAAATCACTCGATCAGCATAAAAATTGTAGAAATTGATTCCGGAGATGAAAATCCAATTTTGGATGAGAACTTTTCATCAAATTTCGATGTGGCTCCAGTCACAGGTGCTGAGTTGATTTATCTTACAGATAGAGAGATTGAGGATAAACCGGCAGCTGTTGAGGTTAAAAAACTGATTGATTTTGAAATGATTAGTCATGCTGACTTCATAATAAGATCAAATTGCATAAATGATCGAGAATTCTTGACAAAAGTGCAAGAAAAGTTGAATGATTGTTGCTTTTTAATCTCTCGAGAATTGATGACCTTTGAAGTACCTTTTGATATGCCTGAATCATTCAAATTTGTTGCCAACATACAATTAGAAGCTGAAAATCTGCTCGTTTTTAAGTTCTTTAAAAACCCAGCATCAATTCCAACAAAATCTATCAAAATCACATCAAATGACTTCTCATGGCTTGAAAAAGTCAAAGAAAGTGTCAAAACGGAACCGACCATTTTATATTCAGAAGGTGAAAATGAGTCTGGAATTTTGGGACTTGTCAACTGCATCAGAAGAGAACCTGCTGGTAAGGATGTCAAGTGTGTCTTCATTGATGATCCAAAAGCACCCAAGTTTGATATCGAGAATGAGTTTTATAGGAAACAGTTGGAGAAGGGATTAGCGATGAATGTATACAGGAATGGACAATGGGGATCTTACTGTCATTTTCAACTTAAACCTCAATTCATACATAAAGTTACTCATGACATCATTGCCGTGGCTGAAATTCCAAATCGTGGTGACTTTTCATCCTTGAAATGGTTAGAAAGTCCACTCAAATACAACAACAAAGATGAGCTCGTGACAGTCCATTATGCAGCACTGAACTTTAGAGATATCATGCTAGCAAGCGGTCGAGTTCCTGTCACATTAATTGGAGATTCAAGGATGGACCATCAACAAATTTTAGGATGTGAATTTACTGGTGTGACTTCAAGTGGTCGACGTGTTATGGGCTTGCTGCCTGCTGGTGGTTTAGCCACACATATTAAGGAATCTGAAGCTTTACTTCTTGATATACCCAAAGGATGGTCACTTGAAGATGGCTCATCAGTGCTTGTAACTTACGGAACTGTCTTTTTAGGACTTTTTGTCAAATCAAAAATTGAAACTGGAAATTCAATTTTGATTCATGCTGGATCCGGTGGAGTTGGGTTAGCAGCAATTCACATTGCAATGAGCATGGAGCTGATAGTCTTCACAACAGTCAGCACAGATGAGAAGAAAAATTATTTGTTGGAACTGTTTCCACAGTTGAGACCTGAAAATATTGGAAATTCCAGAGACACAAGCTTTGAAGACATGATAATGAGGAACACGCAAGGAAAAGGTGTTGACTTTGTGCTGAACTCTTTGGCTGATGATAAGCTGCTTGCTTCATTGAGATGTTTAGGTCAAGGTGGAACATTTGTTGAAATCGGGAAGTCTGACATCTTCAGAGACAACAAAGTTAATCTAGGACATTTTGCAAAGGACATCACTTTCTTGTCTATTAATGTTGATGTCCGAAAGTCGCAGAGACATCCAAAAGTAGATCTCATTTATGAAATTATTGATCATATTCACTAAGTCTTATAATCAATTCATTTTTAAGGTAATGTTCAAACATCTTGAAGACGCGATCAACAATAACATCGTCAAGCCATTGAAGACTACTGTTTTTGAGGCAGCTCAACTTGAAGAAGCTTTCAGGTTCATGGCAAGTGGCAAGCATATTGGAAAAGTTATTATCAAACTTCGGGATGAAAATGGACCACTAATTAAGGAAGTAACTCCACGAGTCTTCTTCAATCCTCAACATGCTTACATCATTTGTGGTGGTCTTGGTGGATTTGGAATGGAACTTGCTGACTGGATGATCATAAGAGGATGTCGAAAGATTGTTTTGAGTTCAAGTCGTGGTGTTGTTGATGGATATCATGAATATAAGTTCAGGTTAGTTCCATTTACTAGATTCAATGGTTTTTGGATACGAGTTTGAGTTATTATGAAGCCATTGCTGCTCAATAGACTTATAAAGCTCATTTTTAACAATATTTCATTCTCATTCTTGCAGTTTATGGAGATCCTACGGCGTAGACATCAAAGTAAGTACAGCAGACATTACAACAGCTTCAGGATGTCAACAACTCATCGCAGAAGCATCAGAACTTGGACCAGTTGGTGGAATCTTCAATCTTGCAGCCAAGCTTAATGATGCAATCCTTGATAATCAAACTGTTGAGTCATTTGAACTGTGTATGGCAGCAAAAGCAACAGCAACGAAGCTTTTGGATGAAATTTCAAGAAAACATTGCAAGAATTTGCAGCACTTTGTAGTCTTTTCAAGTGTCTCATGTGGATTTGGTAATATTGGACAGACAAATTATGGAATGGCAAATTCAATAACAGAAAGAATAATTGAAAATCGCAGACTTGCCAATTTACCAGGAAAAGCAATTCAGTGGGGACCAATAGGAGATGTAGGGTTATATACAAAAATATTAACAGATCAGCAAGTGTTATCAGATATGGAAATTAGTGGAACACTAATGCAAAGCATATACTCATGTCTTGAAGTTCTAGACACTTTGTTAACATCAGATGATCCAATTGTTACAAGTTTAGTCGTAGCTGAAAAAATAATGTCACAAAAAGGACGCAACTTATTACTTCAGCAACTGATGAGAGCTTTAGGGATCAAAGATATTAATGCATATCCAAAAGATACAAAAATTATTGACCTTGGAATGGACTCAATGCTGACAGTTGAAGTGATACAATATACAGAGAAGCAGCTTAACATTCAATTGACAGTCAATGATTTAAGATCGATGACACTTGCTGAGCTGATTGAAATGAGTACAAGCAGCAGCAAATGAGATTTAAGTTTGGAAGTGAAAAATCAGTTTTGGCTGCATTAAAATCTTGACTCGACTCTATATCCCTAATTAGTTCTAGTTAAAAATTAATGAGATTAACTGTTTTCTAATTGTTCCAATTATTGAATTACTCGGCATTTGTAGATTGCCTTTTTGAGATAATTTGGGATATTTGTGAAATTAATTGCGGATTCTCTTTCAGGCTGGCAATTTGGAGTAAATTAAGAGCCATTTTTACTTGGGCCGTTTAATTATGACGTTTATAAAAATCCTAATTTTTAAACACCCCTCCTCCTCTGTCATAAAACAGTCACAGATATCAATACCCGCCCCCCCCCCCCCCCCCTCCTAGTGATGCTAATCCAAATCACAAAAAGTTGTAATTTCCAGCAATTCTATGCCACAAAATTCCTGATTTCCCCTGTTACAATGTGTCACACATTTTTTGACCTACCTCCCCCCCCCCAAAATGTTGGACGTCATAAGTGAACGATCCCTTTGATGATTTTAAATTGTTTTTCTACCCCTCAAGTTTAGCTTTCCAGCAGCCAATTTACTTCTATAATCACAATTTACCTTCAAAAATCTCTTCTTAATTATAAACAAAATCACATTAATTACTTAATAAATGAACTCAGTCAAAAAGACTCACAATAAACTCATCAAAATTTCCTAAATTCTTATTTTTTGCCTTCCTTCTTTTCAGGTTTTTTTGTTGTAAATTATCTCGCCTGCTGCCATCCACTCGCTGATTAATTGAGCAATTTATTAAATGTTGATAATCAGTTTTGTGAGTGAATGACTTGGATAAGAAGTTTTCTTTTCTATTGAGGAAGGAATTGTGTGACTTTGTGCTTAATTTAGAGCTTTTGTGAGGTAAAATAAGAATCTAGCAAGCACTTACAACAGAATCACGTTGACATTAATGCAAGCTTAACTTTAGGCTATTCCTTGGAGCTCCAATTCTCACACTTACCTAAAGCTAGCATATGATCAGTTTAGTCCAAATTTACACTTCACTTGCATCATCCTAATCAAATGATAAAATTCTGAGTTGCTCCTCAACCTGTATGAATCCTAACCTTCAGCGCAACCAATACTTAAATCAATCAGATCCCCCTCAACTACCCCAAACCCCTTCACAAGCACTCAAAGCACAAACAAGATCATCAAAGTTTTCAACAATTACTTCCATAATCATCATCGCTGCACTCTCAAAAAATAAAAATAAAACTTAAGTGACGAAAACAAAATTTAATCGCCATTAAATACAAATTGTGATGTTACAGCTTTGAGATGAATAATAAAATGAGTTGTGACAGTTTTTATGCTGTATAAACATCAAAATTTACTACCAGACTTCTTTATGTTGTGCAATAAATGATTGCTGCTGCTGTCGTTTTGTGATGTTTTGATCTTCTTATTAGCTGATTTTTTGGTTTGGGGGGTTCTTGTGTGGGATAAAGAACTTTTTATAAAATTTTGTTGTAGAAATTTCATCCAAGAAATTGCCAATTATTAAAAAAATCTGCCGTGCGTCATAATCAAAAATCCACTTTAATGTCTCCCTTAGAATCTGCCACACAATATTTTCACTAATTTTCCCCAAAACTAAAATAAGACATCTAAAAAGCCCCCAAAAAATAATAATTAACATTCCACAAGACAGCCATCAACACTCTTATTTCATTTTCTTTTTTAATTTGAATTTCTAGCATCTTCTGCGAAAATTTTCATCCCAAAAGCCTTCACATCTCTTTCTTCGTCTTTTCTCAATTCTTGTCACATTCACAAAATTAAAGCTTAACAAAGTTAATTGAAACTAATAAAACGAGGATTAAATATGAATAAAGAAAATGGCAAGATGGCAACAAAAACTTCTTTTTTATCTTGAACTTGAAATGCGATCACATTTGTCCTTGAGAGCTTTTTGGTATCGGTTCCTGCTGTGACTTTTGTTTGGTGAGATTGTTTGAAAAAAAAACGTGGTAATATTATTTTTATGGAAAGATTTAATTGCATTTTAATTAGATGTTATGTATTATTCATTAACTGAGCAAGATAATGAAAAACTGAGCAACATAATAAAAAAAACTGAGCAACAGATCCAAAAACTGAGCAAAAACCAAAAACTGAGCAACAAAACCAAAAACTGAGCAACAGAACCAAAATCTGAGCAACAGTACCAAAAACTGAGCAGCAAAACTAAAAACTGAGCAAAAGAACCAAAACTGAGCAACAGAACCAAAACTGAGCAACAGAACCAAAATCTGAGCAACAGTACCAAAAACTGAGCAACAGTACCAAAACTGAGCAACAGAACCAAAACTGAGCAACAGAACCAAAACTGAGCAACAGAACCAAAAACTGAGCAACAGATCCAAAAACTGAGCAACAGAACCAAAAACTGAGCAACAGATCCAAAAACTGAGCAAAAACCAAAAACTGAGCAACAAAACCCAAAACTGAACAACAGAATCAAAACCTGAGCAACAAAACCAAAAACTGAGCAACAGAACCAAAAACTGAGCAACAGAACCAAAAACTGAACAACAGAACCAAAACCTGAGCAACAGAACCAAAAACTGAACAACAGAACCAAAACCTGAGCAACAAAACTAAAAACTGAGCAAAAGAACCAAAACTGAGCAACAGAACCAAAAACTGAGCAACAAATTCCAAAATGTCTTTAGAATTGAGCAAATCTCGTAAATGAAAAGTCCATTAAACCTCTTTTCAATATCCAAAAAGTAAAAAAATCACACATTCCATCCGTCAATAAACTTAGAAAAAGGATCAGGAAATTCAACAGTAAATATTCCATTACCTCCGGTTGAGTCCCAATCTTTTCCGACCTTGATTTTCTCCAAATCTAAAACTCAATTAAGTTTTGCAAGCCACAAATCCGGAAGGAAAAATCACGGAACTAAACATAAAAAAAAATCTGCTTCCAAAATAAAACTACGATAAAGTTTTTAAGCACGAGGATTACAGAAGCGGCTCCGATTCACATCCGTGGACGATAAAAATGGAAAATGTTCTACTAACCACATTTATGAATATTTCTCAGGACTCACATAAATATTAATTCAACAAATTGATGACACGTGTTTCCGCATCAATTTCCATTCAATTCAGCATCCGAATAAAAAGGATGAAAAGAGAACTTTAATCCCCAAAAGCTTGCACACGATAAAGTAGAAAAAAAAGTTTCGACATAGTCATCATGACGATGTCGCTAGAAGTTCATAATGCGGTGGGAAAATAAGTTTGGATTGTGGCTCGAATTTCATCTTATTAAGCTTTTTTTGGAGCATCTTCTTCTTGATTAGCGAAACTTTATGATTTGCCTTTTTCAGAAGTTGCTCTTGTGAAGATTATGATTGGACTTTTTGAGAATGACTCGTTGGTAAAAGCAGGTGACTGTTAATAAAAAGCTGACGAATACTTTAGTGAACCTAATCAGACAATATTTAAGACAGAGGTGCCAGCATCCCGAATGGCACAAGTCGTGTAATCGAATAATAGTCTGGCACCCAGCCAGCATAACTCTGACATGGTTCTGACTTCGATTTAAATCCAGCACAATGCCAGAGTCACAACAGCTTAGTGTCGGATTTCTGATCGAACAACCGACTTGTGCCATTCGGGCATTTAATTTTCAATGCACAAACAGTGAATGTCGATCTCAACAGCATCCCTTTAACTTCAATAGGATGTTCTTAGCTTTTGCATGCTGCTATTTGCTTAGTCTTCATCAAACACAGTTCCTGAGTAGGGTTAAATGCGCTTCAGGCACAATTGTTATATTCAACCGTCTAGATGTGCTCTCAGCAAACTATTTGCAGCAAACTTCTCAATTTCCTGTTTAAATTCTCCATAAAATAAGCTAACTTTATTGATCTTGCAGCAAAAGACCTTCTATGTGCTTCAATTTTCATTCTATAAATTCCTTTTTCCATAATCCTTAACATTGATTCTTTTTTACGGTTTATTTCAGTGTTTCTCAATCTTTTTGAAGCAACGACACACCAGATTACACACTTAGTTCTTTGGCTTGTACGGTTGTGGGTCCATTTCCACACAAAGAGACTGTCTATACTTTACTTATGCTGGTTCAAAATATCAATAACTCTAAGGTCAATTCCCACAATGACGAACTATATCAGTTGTTCCAGGATGCTGATATTATTACGGTTCTCCGAGCAAATCATTTGAGTTGGGCTGGTCATGTCTTTAGACGTCCACAAGATACCCCAGAACTTAGTGTGACTGTTGCAGACTTTATAGATGGCAAGAGATCTAGAGGAAAACCAAAAAACACCTGGATTGGATGTGTTAATAAGGACTCTAGAGTCCCTAATATCCCAAACTGGCAGAAGGTCTCGAAGGATAGAGCTGTCTTTAGACGATCTCTGAACGCAGCAATGAGTCCACGTGCACCCCAGCCAAGGAAGTATGAAGTTTTATCATTTCCAACACGCCTTTATACATTATACATTTCACTCTTACACTTGAAAGCTTACAATTGTGGCAATTGTTTCGTATGCTATAGCTTGAGTAGCACTGCTCAGTTCTCATCTGAATGACTCGACAGAATTGCACAGAAAAATTGTTGCATTGAAATTCAGCTTCAGCAGGAAAAGCAGGAAAAAAATTGTTCTATTTTGCATTACAAATTGATTCCGTCTGCTTTATTTTATTGCATATCATTATTGTAAGGACGTTCGGAAGATTTGTTAATAATGTTAAAGGGAAGTGATGGTAATAATGTACTAGGCTGTAGTTCCTACATAAAAACAGTCCATCCGTTTTTGAAGGTTCAACCAAATTCGATGATTGAACACTCCTGACTAGCGGTGAAATGGCATCAGTGGCTTATGTGGTAGAGCGTTGGCCTTAGATGCCAAAGGTTCTAGGTTCAATCATAGGTCAAGTCAAGTTTTTGAAGTTCTTTTTCAATTTCACCGTTCTAATTATGAGGTTCGGTTCGTGTGTTGGGTGTAGTTTTGATGTCTTTGGCATAGAATATGCCTCCTTTGCTAGGTATACAAGGATATACTAGCATCTGGATGATTTTATTACAAAATCTTGCGCACACGAATTGTGACTAGGTACATTGCAGGGTACTGCACATCTATAGACTTACTTAGTGTCTTTGCAATGTGCAGAGCTTGCAAGTGGCTCAGATTCCACTATAAACTGTAGGTCTGAAGGATGTGGTACAATAGATTCTATTCTAATTTAAATCGCAGTGCCTCCAGCTCAAAAGGCTTAGTTTTTTCCATGCTGTACCTTCTTACAACCCTGACGACCTCTTAATAACTCACTTCCATTGTCCACATACGCTCCCATAAACTTCAATTGTCTTTAATTCAACACTCGATTATTGAAATTACATCGAATGTGCAGTCCATTTTGAAATTCAATAGGATTATTTTTTCTGTCTCACTTTTATCCATCCTTAACTAGAGAGTATTGTAAATTGAAAGGAAATTTGCAAAACACGACAATTGTGTACATTTTATTCCAATTTGCATTTCAATTTTTTTTTTCCCTACATACTGTTATGTGCTCAGTGTAATTTTACAAGCAGTGCACAATTGTGTGATGGGTTTTTTATGTGGAAATTGATTTTTTTTGCTGCTGCTGCTGATGGTGTGAAGTTGAATGTATTCATTGGTGGGAATTTGTAAGTTTGAATTTATGTGAGACCTTAGATGTCTGGATTCTAATCTCAATTTTTGATTTTTAAGCTTAAAATGGATGGTTTCAATGCTCAAAATAAGAATTCTAACCTTAGAGTCTAGATTCTAACCTCAAAATATTTTTTTTATTCTAAAATGAGAACATTAACCTAAAATGGAGTTCATTACCATTTGAACAGGGTTTCTAACCTAAAAACAGTGTTCCTAACCTTAAAGTGGAGTTAAAAACCTACAAAATAAAGATTTTAACCTTAAAATATAGTTTCAAATTTAAAACATGCGAGCTCTAACCAAATCAAAATTGAGTTTTTAACCTCAAAATGCAGTTTCTTAACCTTAAAGTTAGATTTCCAACCTAATAACTATAATGGAGCATCAAACCTGAATTTTAACTTTTTTCCTAACCTCAAAAATTGCAAAATCTCTTAAAAACTCACTCAAAATCTCAGATTTCTTCAAATCCATGTCCTTATCACATCCAATTTAAATCCATTTCCTATAAATTGGCTGAATTGAATGTGCATCATGTTCATGTCGATATTAAAGATACAAATGGAAGTGTAAAAAAATTCAATTTCATTCTCTTTTTTGTCCTTTTTTCCTGTTGCTGAGTTTTTCTTCATTCTTTTTCCATTCACAATGCATGAATGTCCTTTTTTTTCAGCACCTTAGTAAGTATATGTTTGTAGAAGATGGAATGGAATTGTATAAAAGTTGTTTATTGATTTCGGATTTATTTTGTAACGAGGATGTGAAAAATATTTATGATTGAATTTTTAAGGGGTTTCAATGTAGAATTTGGGGTTTGTACGGATGTTTAGTGACAATTTTAGGACACTTCGCAACAAAAACTAGACATAAATATTCAAAAAAATCGTACAAAGCTTGACATGAATGCATACTCCGTGAGTGGGTCTGAATCAACTGCATATGCAGCTATCCAGTCTAACGTCTTCAAAAATTTTATTTTTTAACTTCTTTTTCCATTAATTGAACATAAACGACTTTTTAATTAATTTCTTCGTATTATTCTCGTTAAAAAGTTTAAATTCGTAATGTTTTCCTATTCTTACTTTCTTGATAATTGACTTTAATGTCGTCTTATCTGTGTTTTGTATTTCATTTTGATTTGGAATAGCGATGCTTTATTTTAAATTTTATTTGTTTTTTTAATTTGAGGTTAGTCTTTGAAAATTCATTTAAAAATATTTTGAGCTTTTTTATTTTGTTTTAAATACGTTATGAGGTTGTTTACTCATGACGTCCGAGATTTAGGAGGGAGTAAGGTCAAGGACTTTGTGACATCCAATTTTGCAAAAAGACAATCGTAATTTTTGGTAATCTTTTATTGGACGTATTTACGAGGGTGTCCTGACAGTTTTGTGACAGAGGGAGCTAAAAGGGTCTAAAAATCATTTTTTTTTATGGATGTGTAGTGAACCTCAATGATGAATATCTTAAAAAAATTGAATAAATTGACATTTTTTAGAAGTGTCACCATTGACAAAATATCCACAATAACTTTGTATGCTGCTCGTTTAGTCAGTCTATTTTTGCTGAATTTTAAGAATTTTATTGTGTGTGACTTTTCAGGAAATTTCATTCAATGAATATTTTATTATTTTTATTGGTTTTTTATGTTTAATTTTTTTATTCCTTTAATTTTGTCCTTATTTTTGATGTTGGAAATTTAATTGAGTATAGACCTGAATTTAACACCATAACCTCAAAATTCGGCATCATAACCTCAAAATTTAGCAACATAACCTCACAATTCAGGTAAATAACCTTAAAGTTCAGCAACATAACCTCAAAATTCGGCAACATAACCTCAAAATTTAGCAACATAACCTCAAAATTCAGGTAAATAACCTTAAAGTTCAGCAACATAACCTCAACATTTAGCAAAATTACTTAAATTCAACTTCATACCCTCAAATATAGCAATATAACCTCAAGCTTTAGTAACAAAACCTCAAAATTCAGCATTATAACTTCAAAAATCAGCAATTTAACCTAAAAACTCAGAAACATAACCCAAATACTTTTCCAAAACGTGAACAAATTCCAAAATTCATAACATAAAAAAAATTCTTAATTTAAACAACATTTTATAGCCAAATTTATTCACAAAATTCCACAATGTTTGCATACAAAAACAGAAATTATCATCACAGAACATTTTGTCATCAAATCATTACCCCAAAAATTGCTTATTCACATTTCCACATTCTGAGCGAGCAACAATCGGAGTAGCACAAAAATCAGTCTCATGAATGTCAATTTTAAATTCAAATGTAAAGTGGCAGCATAAAATGCATAAGGTAAAATTTTCATGAGATGAATTGATAATGTGACAATTTTCTGATTGAGTTGCCGATTTTGCCATTTTTTGATTTGGTTGAATGAATTAAAAAAATTTTATGACTTATTTTGGATATTGTGCTGGAATGATTTTGAAGTATTTGATGAAATGTATGCAATATTGGTGAAAAGTTCATGGTTAATAAAAAATTGTTGGATTTGCGATAGAATAAAACAGAAATAAGTTAAAGATGAATCGATATTGATACATTGGTTGCATCTTTTGAGCATGCTATGCTGCATTATTTATTTCTTGAATGAATGGCAGTAAAGAATATAATCCTTAAAAAATATCAAAGTTTTGAGGTTATGTTGACAAATTTTGGTATTAATTCATTGAAATTTTAAGTTTATGTCGCTAAATTGTAAAATTTGAGGTTAAGTTGCTCAGTTTTGATGTAAATTTGCTGAATTTTGAAGTTAAGTTTCTCAGTTTTGAAGCAAATTTGCTGAATTTCGAGGTTAATTTGCTGAATTTTGAGGTTAAATTGCTCAGTTTTGATGCAAATTTGCTGAATTTTGTGTTTAAGTTGCTCAGTTCTGCGGCAAATTTGCTGAATTTTGAGGCTAAGTTGCTCAGTTCTGAGGCAAATTTGTCGAATTTTTAGGTTAAGTTTCTGAATTTTGAGGTTAAGTTGCTAAATTTTGAGGTTAAGTTGCTGAATTTTGAGGTTAAATTGCTCAGTTTTGATGCAAATTTGCTGAATTTTGTGTTTAAGTTGCTCAGTTCTGAGGCAAATTTGTTGAATTTTGAGGTTAAGTTTCTGAATTTCAAATAAATCTAGTTAATCTATATATTCATTTCAAAAATACATTTTCTCAGTGTAAACTCAAACAACTCAGAAAACATCAAGATAAAATTTTTAAGAAAAAACAGCATGAAAGATAAAATATGGCAAACATTTCAAGATGTAATCGAGGAAGCGATAGTAAAATTGCAATCATGATTCATCGTTAATTCATCATTCATTCAGCAACTTCTTCTACAACTAAACCCTTACTTACAATTGATTTTTTTTCCTTCCGTTTGCTAACGGGAGGATTCATTATTTCTTCATTCTTTACTTTTACTCTGTATCCCGAGAGATGGATGATTGATATGGAATGTAGTTGGTAATCAGAGCGGAAAGCTGGTTGTTTCTAGTCTAAATTGGATGCAGTTTTGATGTGAAAATATGGAGTTTTTGGGGTAAGTTGCTGAATGTTGAGGTTAGGTTAGGCTGTCCAAATGCACTGTTTTTCAGAGCCGAAATTGGGACATCTCCTGATTTTTGACCAAAAATCGACAAAAACCGGTGGACAGCCTAGGTTAAGTTGACCGATTTTGTTGCTAAGTTGCCAGTTTTGAAGTTATGCTGTTTGGATTAAATTCTTGCTTACATTTTGATTTCATTCATAGTTTAAACAGTTTACGTCACGTGAATGGCAAAATTTTTTTTATTGACATAAAGGATTTACTTGACTTATTCGCAAACAAATGAAAAGTTGATGAGAGTAAGAAATTGTGTCAACGGTAAGTTAATTAGGACAACGTTAAGCTCAGTCTATTGAAAATATGAATTTTTACCTTACTAAAGCCAAATACTGCTCTGGCACTGTCAATATTTTAAACTGAATATATTCCAAGTAAATTTTGCAAACAAACACAAAACCAATTTACAGCTTTTTCTTCTTCATTTATCTTCAATCACAGCATACGAGATGAAATACTCAACTTGACAGATCATCTGATTTGATTTTATTTCGAGTCAATTTAAACGAAAGATAAAACATGGAATTGCTGTCGATTACTGTCAACGATTGTTTGTAGGATTTGCCATATGAGGATGATTATTATACAGTGTTGATATGTCTTTGCTGGTTATGTGAATTTTATTGATTTTTGAAAAAAAAACTTAAAAACTTTAAAATTTAATTTTTAACATTTTGAGGATATCAACTCTTAATTCAAAATTCTTTTAAAAACTTGAGTAACTCAATCAAAAAAAGTTGGGACCTTAACCTCATAATTTACCAACATAACCTCAACAGTGTCAAGATAATTTTAAAATTTGGCAACATAACCTAGCATTTCAATACATAATTTGTTAAATATTAAATTCTTGAAAGATAACTTAACAATTTTTAAAAGTATTAAAAACTTTAAAAATGCGCTTTATTCACTTCAACTCATTTGTGACTTTCTTACTTGAACATTTTTTTTTATATTTTATTCTCTAAAACATTAATCACATCTAAATCAAAAAATAGCTCAAAAAAGTGCCCACATCTAGTATCGATTTCTAACACAAACATTTACGCCATTACGTCTCAATGAAACTCCACATCCCATCCACAAGCGCTTCGTTTCCTTCATTTGAAATTTAAATCTGACAATAAATTCACCAACAAAAATCTTCATCAAGTTCATGGTCATGCACTCATCGAACTTTGACATTGAATTTTCCATTAATTTTCCATGACTATCAAGGTTTTCGAGATACAAGAGGACGCCTGTGTTTGGTGGGATAAATTGTCCAATCAGTGGAACTCCAGCTTGAGTTGTTTTAGTGACAACAGGAATTATTGTATGTGCTGGAAGTTGTTCGATGAGGAACTTATGCAGCTTTTGAGATTTCATAAAATTACGTTGATTTTCTCGAATTTCATTGCAAATTTCATCTTGAAGTTCCGCACTTTTTGACAACTCTATGATCATGTTAGTAAATGCAATTGAGAATCTGTCATAGCCAAGAAGTACGAAGGTTTCAATCAATGGAGATGGATCAATATTTGGAAATCTCGAACGAATGTCATCATAAACTGAATATGAAACTGCTTTAGTGTCAGCTGATTTGAGATGTGTTGAAATTATTTGAGAAATTCGATTTCTTGCTGAGTTGAAGCGACGCTCCTCACCGATGACTGTGCGGATTAATGAGCTTTGCATCAGACCTGAATAGATTCTGGAGTCAGCCATTGAAATAAGCCTAAAATTAAGTAAGAATAGTCAAAATTGAGCACTTAATTCTTGGAATTTCATTCAAAAATTCGAGGGGATAACAACACGATGAGCAAATTTTTGTGAAATATTCTCGGTTTTTTCAGATTATGATGAAAAATTTGTGTTAATTGCTAAGAAATCAGCATAAGATTTCCATTCGTGGTATGAAATTAGAGAGAATTTGCCAATTAAACTTTTTTCCATCATGCTGTTCCCCCCTCGGTAGTATGAATGTAATGTTAATATTTACCTTTCAGTTTCTTTCAAGAGTTCGGTTCTTTGGTCACTAATGTTCCTTCCAGTTCCAATTACTGTAACGTCAAGCATAGTTTACAATTTAAAGTTTATTTGCAATTAAGATTCAACAGAGAAACTTATTGCAAAACTGTCAATAAGATTCTGTGAAAATCAAAGAGTTTTAAAATTGTTTAATGTGGTCTTGACTTGACCAGCTCATGGGTGACTTGTCGTCCCATCAATGCACATCAAATGCCTATAGTCTATCTAAAATTTATTAATAATCCCAATTCTTACCGTACAAAATATCAAACATCATGAGCTTCGATAACATTTGAATATCAACAGTATCTCCACTACTCATGTTATGTTTGCATAATGCTCCAAATCGTCTGCTCATATGATCAACAAATGAAACATCTTTGGTGAATTTGTTCAATGCATTTGATGTAATGACATTGGTAAATGTTTGACAAGGAAAATCTGTGTAATGGATGAGAATGGGAGGCAATAAATGGATTAAATGTAAATATTGATAATTTTGTGTCTTGTCTGATGGATGAATGACTCAGATCAGGCTCGTAGCCAGGAGGGTCTTGTCCCCCTCTTAAGCGTTTTATGCCGAGCTCTCGCTGTGGTTCAAAACGTTTAGGGGGGGCACGACCCTCCTGGCTACGCACCTGACTCAGATTAATTAAGAAAATTGGATTCAATTTTTTGCTTTGTTAACAAAAAAAAAAATTTAAAATTTTTATCTTACCATTTCCCCTGACAACATCAGCTCCAATCCACGGCCACATAGCGTGATATTTGTCCATCAAAACATTATCATTTGTGGCTATCAAAATTGTCTAAAAAAATATTAAATTAAAAAATTTAAATAATTTTGTCATTATAACGCTGAAGTAATTGCTTCAGTTACCAACAATTTAAAATTATTGTTCACATTTTATGGTACGAGCACATGTGCTGGATATAATGGACTAATTTAATTAGCTATTTATTTGCATATGTTTGAAAATTTGTTCCGCTGAGTGGAAGCTGTTTGGAAGGTATTTCTTTGGAAACATTGTGAATAAAAAATTTTGATATTTTTAAAAAAAAATTGTAAAATTGTCAAAAAAAATGTCAAAATTTTCGTTTAAATAACCCCAAATTTCATAAAAGTAAAATTTTAAATATTCAAAAATTTTCATTAAGTTTTTGAAAAATTTTGAAAATTAAAATTCAATATTTTTTTGTAGAATTTTTCACTAAAGTTTCAATTTACAATTTACAGTCTCTTTAATCTTCACTAATCTAATTACATAAATTAAAAAAATATGTAAATAAATTTTGTAAACTATAAATAGTTTTACTGTCCAAATAACAAACAACAATGCAGCATTTTGATGTTTACATTTTCATTTCAACATTCTGTTTGCTCATGAATTTTGCTCTTTTTTATCAAGTTTATTTAAATTAGTTTAATTACAAAATTTTTTTATTTAAATAAATTTTGAGGCTAGAAAATTTTTTGAAATTCAAAAGTTCGATATTTCAACTTTTTCTCTCAAAAATTCTACAAGTTTTATTTTAAAAAATCTGTTGCATTTTTTGTGTTTCTTAACTTTTTCTCACGTAAATTTGTCAGCTGTTTTATTTTTTCACACACTTTTTTATTTCTTCATTTTTGATTTCATTCAGTAATTTTTTTTTGTTTATCTATTTTCTTTCTCAAGCAAAAATAATCTGAATGACACTGTTGAGTTGTCTAGACAAGTTTTGGAGCATCTTCTTCTGTCGCAACCAACGAACTTGAACATTCTTTTATGTTTTGACTGCTTTTTGGCATGTGAATCTTAAATTTTCGATTTAGTTGATTTTTTGTTGTTTTTATAATTTTTTTAAAATTGAAATAAATTTAATTTATTAAACCTAACCTCAAAAATTATTTAATAAAAAATCAACATAACCTCAAAAATCTGTCTAAATCTTCAATTAAACTTTAATATGATAACAAAACACCAAAACCTAACCTAGCTGAAGCCTAGCTTTGTTTATAACCTTAATATAAACCAAAATTGCTTAACTCACCTTAACATCTTCATACTTTGAAACAGTCACAAATCTCTCGAATCCAATCCACACCACAAATTTATCTTTTCCATGTTTAATCCACAATTTTTTCATATTTTCATAAAATTCACTCGATGAGTTCTCAAAAAGTCCTCGAACTGAGATTCTTTTACCACCCGGAAGTTTCATCAAATATTGCCAATTTTTCCAATAATTATACAATATAGTAAGCACAGTCAAACCAAATGTTAGGAACAAACATGATGGGTTATAAAATGCAATTCCTATGATTGCAGCGAATGTTGTAAAAAGATTTACTTTTAAGCCCATGACTATAAAAAGTTTGTAGTCTCGCTATGACGGTCCGATTGTGACTGAAGTCAACTTACATTTTGTGAAACAATCGAAAAAGATCTTTTTTTTGAGAAGGAGAAATAAAATCAAGATTTAGTCGTCATTGTTGCTAAATAAGATTTTTGATGACGGAGTGGAAAATTGTGAAAAGTTTAAAAGTAGTTTGTGGTAATGGTAAAGCGCATTTTCTAGAAAAAAGAGATAAATTTAGAATTGTAAGCTTCATAGGATTTTTGATTGTTTTTGTTTGAATCTTAATTGGTATGACAGTTTATATTCATCTTAATTGAATTTTAAAATATTTTTTTTCTCCACCTCGAATTTTAAATTTGCGAAAGCTTCGTCAAGTTAAACTATAAGTGCTCAATTTTAACACTAATCGAATTAAAACAATGGCAAGCACAAAAAAAAATCAAAAAAAGAGGCAAGTAAGAAAGTCAATAGCACAAACTAGAGCGCATTTTTTCCAATTTGAACTTTTGTTGATCAAACTAAAGAAACTGTATTGTGCAAAGGTTAATAATTCTAGAAATTTATTTATTACAAATCTCTTATAAGCATTCCGCTCAGTCAGACAACTTTTCTATCCGTTTTTAAACTAAGTTTATTAACAAAGCTGGAACAGAGCACACAAAATGTAATAAAATCAACATAAAAATTGTTACAAAATCATCTCTTTTTTAAGGTAAGAGCCTCTTTTTCTCTTCATCTTCTCTTTTTTTGCTTCACGTGCTAAATTCGATAATTTTGGTCAACAAACTTGTTTTCTTTTTTATTTGTTTGTATTTATGCTCGCTGTGATCTTCTTCTTTAAGCATTTTTATTTTATTTATAACGAAATAAATATTAAATAACTTTTCTGTTGCTTTGCCGGTTTTTTCATGAATATTTATGCATTTTCGAATATTGGATGCGAATATGTGTTTGTGATTATGATTGCCAAGGTTAATTGACAGAGTTGGAGTAATTTGCAGGCTTTCTTTTGGTATTTTTTGAATCCTCAAACAAAATTTAAATTAAAGTTTCAATATTTAATGAATAATTCAATTTAATTTCCATTTAAAATTAAAATTAATTGCCTTATTATCTTCAATAATTGAATTAAATCGAGGATGAAAAGGATTTAATTGACTCATTCATTCACCTTTTCATTCTCAATAATTAAATGGAATCGAGCCATTGAACATTGTGGGCTGTAGAATTTAATTTAATTGGACATTTTTAATTGATTTATAAAACGAATTCTTTTTGCTGGAAATAAATCATTTAAGACTTTTTTGGGATTAAGTTTTAAACTGTTAAACTGAGGGATAGGAAGGGATAGCAAGGGATAGGGAAGGATAATGAGGGATAGGGAGGGATAGGGAGGGATAGGGAGGGATAGGGAGGGATAGGGAGGGATAGGGAGGGATAGGGAGGGATAGGGAGGGATAGGGAGGGATAGGGAGGATAGGGAGGATAGGGAGGGATAGGGAGGGATAGGGAAGGATAATGAGGGATAGGGAGGGATAGGGAGGGATAGGGAGGGATAGGGAGGGATAGGGAGGGATAGGGAGGGATAGGGAGGGATAGGGAGGGATAGGGAGGGATAGGGAGGGATAGGGAGGGATAGGGAGGGATAGGGAGGGATAGGGAAGGAGAGGGAAGGATAAGGAGGGATAAGGAAGGATAGGGAGGGATAGGGAAGGATAGGGAGGGATAGGGAAGGATAGGGAAGGATAAGGAGGAATAGGGAGGGATAGGGAGAGATAGGAAGGGATAGGGAGGGATAAGGAGGGATAGGGAGGGATAGGGATGGATAGAGAAGATAAAAAAGCTGATTTCAACCTATTGCTTCATCTTACGTCCAAAATATCCCAAAATTCCAACTTTGGTTCTCAATTTCATAACACAAAAAAGAAATTTCATCAGCCTTCCTCAATTTTCTTAAAAGACCATGAAAAAAATTCATTTCAGACTCTTCTCAAGTGAAAGTGTAAGAAATAAGGTCGCATGCAGTTTTTGGCATGCAAAGGAACAAGAAGATTGCAAATTGAGACTTAAAAAGCGGTGAATTATGCATGAAAAAAATGGGAGTAGCCTTGCACGAGTGGATGGAGTAAATCAGAAAGTTAATCAATAGGCTGATGAAATTTCAGATGCAATTTTGGAAATTGTGATCAAAAATGCAAAGTGAACTATTTTTTTGAAGATTTTGCAAGCTTTTGTGCTGAATTTGAATTTCATTTGGTTTTTAAAAATGGTCTGAAGATACATATTAGGACGATTGTTTTTAAATTGATAACCAGACAGATTTAAAAACAAGAAAATGAACTAAAACAGCTGCTAGACCAACAACATATCGACTCTAATTACCATTTACAAAAACTTAACTGCACAGACAAAGCAAACAATTAAATTCTCATCATATGATTAGGGTTACCATCTAGTTTTCATGAAAATACAGGACATTTGGTAAATTTTTTCGAAAAAAACAGGACATAGAGTAAAATTCGAAAATTAACGGAAATTTTAATGAAAAAAATACAGGACCAGGAACAAAATTTAAAAATTTATACAGGACAGGGTTTTGAAATACAGGACTGTCCGTTGTAAAACTACGCAGATGGTCACCCTACATATGAACCATCCATCGCATTGAAACAAAAAGCTTAATCAGCTCATGTTTTAGTTTTTGATTAAAAAACAACATAAATTTACATTAACAGCACAGGACATCATGTGTATTCCACCCACACATGTCGATCTATTATGCTGATGATTTGCATTTGTACATGACGTGCGTCTATTGGATGGGAAAATTGCAATTTCATCGCAATGTTAATGAACCAACTGACAATGAACTTGGGATGAAGTGAGTGAAAGGTTTTTTTGTAATGAGTTGAGTGATTGAGTGTGCTTTGGGACTGTTTTGTTGGGAGATGATTGTGTGTTTTGTGAGTTTGTCGGTTTTTGTTTATTTTAGATATTTTTGTTCCATTTGGAATTTTTGAAAAAATTTCTATTTTTTACGTTATGTATTTTTACGTACGTCTTGTTTCATTTACGCATTTTCCAAGCATGTTTCCATAAAAAAACTAAAACCGACCGCAAACTTTTTCCCACAGCAACCTGAAAGAAATCAGATAAAATTCAGTACAAATCCCTTTTTCTTTCTCATTTCTTCTTTACATTCAATGCCAATCCAAATTTATTTTCTCTATTTAACCAAGATCGACACAACAAGCTATCGATTCGAGTGCGAATCTCCACGTACAAGATTATATGACACCATAATCTTCACATCCGTTAAATGGAATTTACTCGGAATTATCATAAAGTGGAACTTGAAAGCTAACAAATAGGCAGAATCGACAACTAAGGAACGGCACGTGGAGTAGCGATAAGGTCGGAACATAAATAATCAACAGCAAAGTGGAATTATAGTTTCGACATTGTCGAGATGCGATGGAGAGAAAAAAAAATGTCCACAATTTATCGTCACTAAAACTTTCAGAAGCTCTCGTGAAGCTTCGTTTGTTCATAAATTTTCAAGTCAATTTATTGTTCACGCACATGAGCTCATCTGTCATCTTCACGAATGGAAATAAAAGGAGCGTCTTGTGACTACTTTTGTGAGAACATTCAAAATGAATGAAAAATGTCATTCATAATTTAGTGGAAATTTTTCTCATATTTTTTTATATTTTTTGTATCGTGCGAAGCTCATTTGACTATTTTTTTGAGGGTGGATCTTGTAAACAGTAAATAAAAGACACAGACATGGCTGGTGTGGTGATTTTCATCAATATTGAGCTAAAAACTTACGCAAAACTACTTAACTGGAATATTTACGTACTTCAACAAGTCTTAAGGTTCTAGTGCTAGTTTAGACATAATTTAAACCTCAATATAAACTCAAACCTCTCAGCCATGATCCAACAAAACTCATCTTCAGCTCAGTTCACTAAAAAGTCCTTCATTCCACCACCCTTATCAAAAATTCTCCATCTTAAAGCTTTTACTTTTATCCATTTTCCTTACATCGTCTAAATTGTGCAATAATTCATGCAAAAGCATATATTCGTTCAAGAAATGGCACCAGCACAAGCTGCAGATGAGACAACCAAAAAAAGTTGCGAGCAATAATTTAAGAAGAAAAAAATTCTAAGTTTATCCATCCATCATTAGAGTTTTTTTATGCTTAGTGTTTTATTGTTGGTTGAATTTTTTATTTTTTGAGCTTGCTTTAAGTTTGTTTTTGGTGAATATTTGATTCTGCTCGAGACTTGATGAAACCTGGATCGCTGAATATGCTAGTAACATGTGACAACCATGAAGGGATAGCTACAAAATGCATCGCAAAATTTAATCAATCATATTTCCAGCAATACTTCCTTATTCTAAAACTAGATCACAATATTTAACCCAGAAGACGTCAGCAGAATCAACAAGATGGAAGCTTTTCAACTGCAGTTGCAACACAAAAAATGAAAATTTTTCTCATTCAATTATCTCAAACGATGTCAATTCCCGACAGAAATTTTCTTTTCTTTCCTTTTCTTGCAATTCAATTTTCTTCCTGACATTTATCAGCGCAACTTATTTTCTGATGGTTTATTGTTGAGTTGCTGAGTGAAAAAGTTGATGGGGGAGGGGCTGGGGTTCATAAATAAAATTGATGATACGATTTTATTTGGCATCATGCAGAATATAGTAAAAGACAAAGGCTTGATCAAATATCTTCCGAAGACAACCAAATGTGATCTTTTTTTGGGGATCATAACTGGTAGAATGAATTCTGGACTCCTTCTCAAGAATTACAATTTAATTCATTGAACATTTCTCCAAACTGAAAACAAATTTGAATTGAAATAAAAAAATCACAAGGGAAGTTGAAGTTCTAAACTTTACACATTAAAAGCTTTCAAAATGTTCACTTGAAAATTTACAAAACTGTACATTTTTGTGCTGAGCCTCAAAATTAAATGCATTTTAACTGAACAGCAAAAGTGCTTCAATTGTACCAAAAAAGGGTTATAAATGTGCATTTTATAAGCTATAAAAGTGTATTTGAGTGTTCATTGGAACTAGCTTTGTACATCAAAGACTAAAATTTTCCATTTGAAGCTTTGATCATTTCATAAACGAAACTAGGATGGGGAAGAGTTTGAGCACCAAAGCCAAAATTAATTTCCTTTCGCAATTAAAGCCAATAAAAATTTGTAATTTTTAAGGATTTAATTTAAGGATTAAATTGTTTTTGCATCCAGCATCAACTCCAGTTTAACGTTAAGTTAAGTATTGAATTTTAAATCAGTTTAAGGAAAGGTTCAGTTTTAAGGATTTCATCAGTTAAAAGATAGATGAAATGATTGATTATTAGATTAGTTTAAGGATAAGTTAAGTATAGAAGATTAGAACAGTTTAGGGATACGTTCAGTTTTGAGGATTAGGTCAGTATAAGGATAGGTTCAGTTTTAGGGATTTGATCAGTTAAAAGGTAGGTTCAGTTTTTAATATTAGATCAGTGTAAAGATAAGTTTAGTTTTGATGATTAGATCAATTAAGGAATAAGTTCAGTTTTGAATATGATATCCGTTTAAGGATAAGTTTAGTTTTGATGATTAGAGTTTTCAGTTTGATCATTTTTGTGGATTAAATCAGCACAAATTATCCAAATGTTTCCAATTCTGATGACACAATCGTCACCATAGCTTGAATTATTAAAAATTCTTTCATGCTCTTTGAGTCTGTAATATGAAGTATAACTTTGTAGTCGCCACGTGGAAAAATTGATGGTAACGTATCAATTTTGACTATTGTGTTGTTGAAAATAACTTTTGTGGTTGGACAGTCGATGAACAAATTAGGATTTGTATTATACATGATTTTCGTAAACTCCTTAAACAATGGATAAGCATCGATATGCTTTGTGGACTCACAATAGTTGATTCGCGGGAACTTCAAGACTTCTCGATAAATGTTTGTGTATTTAAATAAGAATGAAAGTTCAATCTAGCAAAAAAAGTTATGGTAATTTAAAAATTTGTCAGGTATTAGTGTTTTGGCTTACCAAAAAGTCTATTGGAAACACTGTAAAGATGTAAATGGTAATGGCTGACGCATTTCGACTGACTGGCTTTGCAAAGCATGTTGAATTTTTGAACATAAAACTTTCATTAAATTCACATTTAAATTGTCTTACTTTTATATACTGAAAGTCTTTTGTCGATACAAAAATGCAGCAAAAAATTAAAAAGAGTGAAAATAAAACTTTTCGAGCTATCATCACTGCAAGTTTGCAAAAAAACCGAACAAATTTGTTAATTTTGCAAAAATTAAATTTATTTTTCCACAAAATGTTCTTGAAAGTCACCCAAAAGTATTCATTTCCGACGAGATAATCGTAAAAATTGCTTCAATTGACATAATTTCATTCATTTTTCTCGATTCCGTGATCGAAAATAAGCATTTGTAGTCGCCACGTGGGAAAATGTTAGGCAGCGTGTCAATTCTGAGGACTGTGTTGTTGAAAATTACTTTTGTTGTTGGACAGTCAATGACTAGATCTGGATTAGTTCTGTACAAAATTTTCACGACTTCTTTAAAAATTGGATTAGCATCGAGGTTGCTCATTGATTCACAATAGTTGATTCCAGAAAATTTCATGACTTCTCGATAAATATTTGTGTATTTGAACAAAAGGGAAAATCCTAGCTGAAAATTGAGAACATTTAATAATAAATTCACTTTAAAGATGAGTTTGGCTCGAGGATGAGATTAGTTTTTGAGATGTGTTCAGTTTGAGAATGTGTTTAATTCAAGAATGTGTTTAGTTTGTGGATGTGTTTTATTTGAGGATTTCTTTAGTTTGGGGATGTGTTTAGTTCGAAAATGTGTTAAGTTTTTGGATGTGTTTAATTTGAGGATGTGGTCAGAACGAGGGTGTATTTGGGTGAAGAATGTGTTCAGTTCGAGGATGTGCTTAGTTTAAGAATGTGTTCAGTTTGATAATGTGTTCAGTTCGAGGATGCGTTCAGGTGAAGAATGCGTTCAGTTTGAGCATGTGTTTTATTCTTAATAACTTGAGGATGTGCTTAGTTTGAAGATGTGTTCAGTTTGAGAATGTGTTCAGTTTAAGAATGTGTTTAGTTCTACGATGTGGTTTAATCAAGGGTGTGTTCAGTTCGAGGATGTGCTTAGTTTGAGAATGTGTTCAGTTCGAGGATGTGCTTAGTTTGAAAATGTGTTCAGTTTAAGAATGTGTTTAGTTCTAGGATGTGGTTTGATCAAGGGTGTGTTCAGTTCGAGGATGTTGTCCGAACGCCGGTGTGTTTAGGTGAAGAATGTGTTCAGTTCGAGGATGTACTTAGTTTGAGAATGAGTTCAGTTCGAGGATGTGCTTAGTTTGAAAATGTGTTCATTTTAAGAATGTGTTTAGTTCTAGGATGTGGTTTGATCAAGGGTGTGTTCAGTTCGAGGATGTTGTCCGAACGCCGGTGTGTTAAGGTGAAGAATGTGTTCAGTTCGCGGATGTGCTGGGTTCGAAAATGTGTTCAGTTCGAAGATGTGGTCGGATCGAGGGTGCGTTCAGGTGAAGAATGTGTTCAGTTTGAGGATGTGTTTAGTTAAAGGTAAATTCTTAATAACTTGAGGATGTGCATAATTTAAAGATGTGTTCAGTTCGAGGGTGTGTTTAGTTTAAGGATGAGTTTTGTTTGAAGTTAAGTATTGAATGAAGAAATTTACCAAAAAGGTTACAGGAAGTTTTGTATAAATGAATGCATTAATTGATGATGAATTTCTACTTAGAGCCTTCGCAAAGCAAGTCGTATTTTCAAGGAAAAAGCTTTTATTAAAATCACATTTTAGTCTTTTCACTTTAATATATTGAAAATCTTTCATTGACACTGAAACATAAAAAATTAGAAAAATTGACGCAAATAAAACTTTTTTCACCAACATGACTAGATTGATTTTGAGTTTTAAACTGAAAAACTAAATTCTGGACAAATTCTGTAAATTATTAGGATTTTATCTAATTCAAAAAATCTCAAATAACTACTTAAAATTTTAAAATTAAAAAAATATTATATTATTGTAAATTGTGACTATTTTTAACAAACTTAACAACCTTAAAATTATCCCCAGAAGCACTTAAACAATTATAGCATACATACTTATATCTCCATCTCTCTCATAACCTCCATCTAACTTCAAATTGATCAAATCATCCGCAATTTATTGCCTTCGAGCGACAACCAACCTAAAAATGGGATGATTCAGTGCCAGTGATTACAATGAGCAAGAAAAGAAGCAAATTCGATGGAATGTTGAAATAAAAAATTAGCACAATCAGCACAGCACAAAAAAAAGCTTCTTTAATTTTGCAATTTCGTCACGTTCCATTGTCCGTTTAATTTCTACTTCCATTTCTCTCAATGATAATTAAATTTTGTGTGTCTTTATCGTGTAACTTGAAAGCGAAGGTTTTTTTTGTTCTTGTGAATTTGAAAAGAAATTGGGAACTTTTTTGGGTTGATTTGGTTTTTTGGGGGATGAGAGAAGTGCTGGATGCATTGATACGGCCAGTGACTAGAATGCAATTCAATAAATGATAAACTAGCTGTGAGGCACTATTATGGGATAGGAGCTTTGTTTCAGTAGCTAAAAGCTTAAAACATACAATTTTTTTAGGTTAGAAACTCTTTGAAATAATATATGAGGGCCATTCACTTATTACGTCACGCTATAAATTTCCTTCTAAAATCCCCTCCTTGATACATAATTTCAGACTCCCAACTCTCCTTAAAAGCGTTACGTAGTAAGTGAATGGTCCAATTGGTAAAATTGAGTAAATGAAAAACATTTTCAAAAAATTTATAATTAATTCCTTCTCATTTACTTCACTCGATGCAGTTTTGCGGAAGCTAATAAACACACAAAACTTGTTCGGCAATATTGAATGCCGAATGAACATTTTAATTAAAAATTTAAAGAACTTTTTCCAGTAATAAGATGAAAAATATGCTGCAATCTGGAAAAGTTTTGTGAGTTTTTTTAAGCTTAAATGAAATGATATTGGAGAAATTATTGCAATTAATTCGGAAAATCGTTGCAAGTCAAATAAGTTGCATAGTTAAGAAGTGATTTTGGATAAAAGACTGAATGTTTGTGAGACTGTGAACTGTTTCAAGGGCTATTCGAGGCACCTAGGCAGGTTAGCTAAAATCTATGTACTACAATATAACGTATCAATAAAACTCATAGTCTCATAGTCTCAGACTAGGGCAAAGTGCGGTATTCAGTTTGAACAGTCATCAATTGCTCGGCCTTTGAAACTAACCCTTGAACAACATATGTTCCCAGGACTTATCCAATGCTAATGCACAGAAAAAACGATCGAGCATTGCTTGTAACAACCAAGTCACATCTCCCTTCAGTAACAGCATTTTTGTATTATTGAAAATCAAGGATATAAACCTGAGATTTTGTAAGATTTTCCCAATATTTCATCAGTTGATGAATGCATTTCATGTGCTTCTCATTCGTCCTACTTACGTTGACTATTCTTTATTTTTTTATACAGTCTTTACATTGTAAAAATCCACTCGGGTCTGGAAAATGAGGAAATTACATGTGGAAATCTGGAAAATCTTGTTTCAGTTTTACGAAGCGTCTTTTTTCAATTTTTCCTCACACTGTCTCTATCTCCTTCATGAAACATTGACGAAAATGAATGGGAAACAAAAACTTGCAAGTTGATGTGAATTTAAAAATAAAAAACCGTTATTTTTGGACAAATTTTTTTTTATTTATTGGGGTTCGCCAGAAAAGGCACACAAAAATTAAAATTAAAGAGAAACCGGCTAAAGGATTGGTTCTCCAGTAAGAAGGGTTTTGTGTTTTAACCAACTTGCTCTTCCTTGATTTTATTACAACAACTTAAATCAACAATCTTAGTAAAATTCCAACTTATCCCCATTACTTCCTTCACTCCTTCCATCCAAAGCCTGCTGGATATCTTCAATTAAGTCATCAGCATCTTCCAATCCAATTGATACATTTATTAAATTTCCATCAACTTCAATTCCTTCAACCTTTTCAGCTCGTCTCATAAAACTCTCAAATCCACCAATGCTCTCAACTTTGAGGAAAATTTTCAAATTTTTTAAGAAATTTTCAACATTTTCTGGATTTTTCAGCTTAAATGCAAAAACTCCTGAATGTCCATGGCTTTGTTGACATGCGACATCATGTTTTGGATGAGATTGAAGTGCTGGATGAAGAACAACTTCGATTTGTGGCTGTTTTTCAAGCCATTTTGCAATTTTGTAAGACACTTTCATGTGATGATCCATGCGAAGTGAGAGGGTCTTGAGACTTTTATTGACCATGTAGCTGTCGAGGAATTAAAGAAGTTTTAACTAAACTGGACTTTGAATTCACAAAAGAATAGAAGTACTCACCAGTCAAAAGGCGATGGAATGATTCCCATAGCACCTTGATGATACTTCAATTTTTCATGAACTTTATCATCATTAACAGCAATCGAGCCCATAACAACATCCGAATATCCATGAACATATTTATTAATTGAATAAACAACAACATCAGCACCAAATTCAAGTGGACGTTGCAAGTATGAAGATAGAATTGTGTTGTCCACGACGACTCTTGCTGTTGGCAAATTTTCATGCACAAAATCAGAAATTTTACGAATGTCGAGGACTTTCATTGTTCGACTTGATGGAGTTTCCATCCAGACAAGTTTTGTGTTTTCTTTTAGAGCATTTTTAAGTGCATCCAAGTCGGAAAAGTCCACAAACTCAAGTTCCATAGCCATATTGCCTGTAAAGTTCTTAAACAATCGAATTGAGTCAAAATTCATGTCAAAATCAACGACAATTTTTTCTCCTTTTTTCAGAGTTGAAATTATTGCAGTTTGAGCGCCCAAACCTGAGGCATAAGTCACTGCATATTTTGAATTTTCTAAACTTGCAAGACATTTTTCAAGGTTATTCCTTGTTGGATTTCCAAAGCGACTGTATTGATAGCTTGTTGGATTGTGAGCTTCGAATAATTTGTAGGTTGATGTTAAGTTGATTAAGGATAATGTTGAGCTGCATATGAATAAGAATTTAAAAAATACAATTGATAGTTTTTGGTTGATTTTTTCATACCTGGACTCAAATTCTTCAAACTTCCTATCCATGTGAATTGATTTGGTCGCAAAGCTTCGTGATTTCTTGAGGAAACCAAGTTTCTCCCACAAAGATGATCTGAAATATGAAAAATTGGTATCTGTGAAAATGTAATTGGAGACTATTAGCTGAATTTAGTGACTCTAAAGGCAGTAATGGTCAACTCATGTGGTATGATACATGTAAATCTCCCTATAACTGCCATATGTGTATATTAATTTAAAATAAGTCGGGTTTGATGGGAATTGAACCCACGACCTTAAAGCAGGCGATCTCCGACCACTCGATCAGAGATCCTTGCCACTCAGCCACCGAGGTACTTATCTCACTTCGGCTATCCATCATCTAGATAAAACAAGTTCAACTCGAGCCCTATGCTCAGACCTATCTACTACTTTGCTTTTCGAGCCATATTCACAGAACACACTTGTTACGCTGAATCCTTTAATGTACAACATACCAGGTCGTGTGTGGTTTCAGTAATGACTTATCACTAAAGTGTGCCTCAACACAAAAAAAAGGTTGTCCACCACTGTAGGAAGGTAACAGGCACAGATCTTTAATTGTGAAGACATTGGTTTGATACCTAAACCAAGGTTCCCATGGTAACCAAACCCAAAAATTGTTAAAACATCTTCCATATTATGAGTAAGTTCTCAAAAACTTGATGAGCACTCAAACATAATTTTGTTTACAAACATATTAACACGTGCTGATCGTCTGAGATTTTGTGAGATTATCGAGAGAAAATAATTATTTTTTCCGAGCACAATTTTCGATGAGAAATTTTTTGTATTTTTCACAAAATTGAGATAAAAAATTAAAATTTTTTCAAAATTCAATCTTACTCATTTTGATCATCGAATTCATATTCACCGTTGCTATTCATTTGAGTATTGTGATTTTATCAATATTTTAAACTTTATTTAATATTTTAATTTCGAATAATTCCAATTAAAATTAAATTTTAAAATTTGAAAGAAAAATTCACAAAATTTTTAAAACGAAAAGAAAAACAAAACTGAGAATTTTTGATGAAAATATAGCGAAAAATGTCTTGTAGGATGAAGATGCGCAAGATGAAAAGTCGCGATTATATGAAAAAAAAATAATTTTTTATATTGAATATTTCATTTATTTTTCTTCAAAATTCATTGCACTAATTTTACATTAACATTAAATAATTTTAAAAAAATGTTCAAAATAATCATAAAAACTACAAAATTCAGAGCTAGAAGTCGACTTAAAGCTCTGCTACAAAATAAAACAAAAACAAGAAGAATTCAACTATCGTCAGTTGTGATACAATTTCAGGAGACACACATTAAGCACATTCATAAATCGATCCCATAAGCATCGCACCTCATTTCCACTCATGTGTCCATAAGAATTTAAATCAAGTACACATTTAGTCAGCACTGGAAGGAACTGCTTAACTTGCTCGAATGACCAGCCACTAACTTTCATTGGCTCGACTAGCTTCTCAGTTAAGTCAAGGAAGAAATTTCTCAATTCACGTGAACGATGGATTGATACTGCAATTGTGATGATTGCTCGGAAGTAGATGCGGAAGTTGATGTCTAGTTCTTGATACGATCGTTCGAGAAGTGAGTCTTTGAGACGGATGAGCACTAAGCTGGATATAAAATTGAAAAAAAAATATTAATTAATAAAATGTGAAGGTTTCGTGCAATAAAGATTACAGAGTGTTGACTAGCTTTGCCCCTGATTCTGCACGGAAAATAGGAATCATATCACAGATGCTGGATACTTAAGGGATCTCTGGTCTAACCTGTAGACTCAGTAGTCCTTATAAGCTACTCTTAAAATAAAACCAAACTTACTGCTTAATCTCCCTCTCCTTATCAAAAAGACACCTCAACTCCCTCAAGTCTAGCAAGAATTCCTTATCAAATTCCTCCTCGATCTCCTGCGAATGCTGATAAACGTAAGTCCAATAAGCCATTATTGACTGCGTGCATTCATAAAAGTCCATAAAACTCAAATATTGCAATTTCTTTTTTGACAGCTCAAATCTTTGATTCGCAATAAAAACAATTGCACAATATTTTTTGGCTAAATCTTCGGACAACAAAAATTCTCTTTGGATGATTTTTAGCAGTGATCCTGCTGGCTGGTCATCGATGACCTTCTGGATTCTCTTGATGTTGTCAAATTGGCGTCGACAACTTTTAAGTTTGATTGATGTTTTTTCACTAATTTCGTCAAGGTCTTTTCGATATTTTGATGAAAGTTTCTTCCCGAGCAGTTCACGACACACGACGTCATCGAGTGAGTAATATTTTTCAATTATGTGCATTTTTGATGTCTTTTCAAGCTGAAAATTGAGCGATGAACTTTCTAGCTTTTGAGGTGCATCCAAATATCGTTCAAGGTGAGCATATGTGCGGTAGTGGTCGAGTACATCGGATGCTATGAGATCTAGTGGAATATTTGATGAAATTTTCTTACGCTGCTGGATTACTGACTCTGAGCTACAATTTAAAATTGATTTTAATTTCAATTGATTTTTAAAATACAAAATAAATTATTAAAATAATAAAAGTTAAATTCTTTTATCCTTGAAACTTAATTTTTCTTACGTTGTCAGTCCATCCAGCCAGAATCTGAATATATCAGCATCAACATAAATGTAGTTTGTTATGAAGACGTCAACATCCATTGTAAATGATTGTTCAAGTTCCTTAAAATGATGGAAAATTGAAATTTTCAGAATTTTTCTGCAATTTTTTTTATTCTACTAATGTTTACAAAATAGTGACGAGGGAAGGGCTGAAATTTTTTTAAAATTCGAAGAAAGAGAGTTTCGAAAATTCGAAAATGTTTGAATAATTTTTTGTCGTTAAGGTTGTTTGAGATTGTATATTAAATAGGTAAATAAGACGGTAAGCATTAATGTTTTTTTGCATTTTAAACCTTGAAATCAAGGAGCTTTGATGCCACTGTCAGTAGGTTTATACTTTCAAGTCAAAAATGAGTTTTAAATCACTCGGTTCATAACATTGGTGTTAATAAGTTATAATCAGCAATGTCACTGGGACCTGAATCTATGATTAGTGAACCAGAGCTAAGGTTTTTAAGTCTACCTTAGACACTTTAGGTCAGAAATAATTTTTAATGTACTACAAATTAAGATATAAATAAAATTAATCGGAGACTAGCGTAAGGTACCCTAAGGAGCCCTTGCTAGTTCTAGAAATAAGTTCCAAGGCTTGTTGATGAAGCAGATTTAGAATTGTTCTAACACACTGTTGCCACACAAAGATCAGGAGCTATAGCTTGGCTAGCCATCTGTTTAGTTTTTCAGAGGACAATCTTTTATTTTCTTCATTTTTCAAAAATGAAAAAAGATTTGTTGTGTTCTAATTCGTCCAAGAAACAAATAAAATTGGTAACCACGTCCTCTATTTTACTTTCATGTCCTCAATTTTTTCAAGAAATAAAAATAAAAATTTCTCTTGGATCATATTCTCCCTCCCCTCCATCCACCTCCGTTTAAAAATTTTATGCTCATTCGTCTGTATCTAATCATAAATGCCATACTGCTATGACTTAACCCGTTCTTTACTAGCGTAACATATATGTTACGCCAACTTTTTCTTAAAATTCTCTACAATAATTGATTTTACATTGAATCTGATTAATGATTTACATTTATAGCTAGATTAAGTACCTTCCCTAATACTTTATGCTGCTTATTTATGTAAATTGGAGAAATTAATTAAAGTTTTCTTTTACATGGAAAATTTAGTCGTTTTGAAACTCAAAATTTTCACATTTTCTGACTCATTTTTGATCAGAACTGGACAGATTTATAAAGTAAATCATCTATAATTATAGTTAAAAACTCACTAATAAAGGTAAAGCATAGTTAAATACATTAACTATGTGACGATAATAAATGTAACATATATGTAACGCTAGGAAAATACGATATAAATTGCCCGTTACATATGTGTAACGCTAGTATTTTGCAAATATTTTAGCGATTTTAATTTAAAATATAATTTAATTAATTAAACCGATTTGGCTTTGAAGTACGTCAAATTATTTTGTGTATAGCTAAATTATGATAAAAATAAGTGATTCAGTGGCAAAAATATTAGTATGAGTGCTTTAAAGAGGATTTTTTGATGTTTGAAAAAATTTGCATTGAAAAATTAAAAGAAAATTTAAAATAGACTTTTTTATCATTTGGAATTATTTGAAGAGTTTCATAAGGGAATAACTAATGAAATAGAGTGAAAATAACGAGCTAAGTGAGTTCAGAACGCCGAAAAATGTTTCATTTGAAAGATATGACATATATTAAAAGTGTAAATAAATTAAGGTTTTTTCGTTATTATGTGCATTACAGTATTCAAATTTGACTTCTTTTGGAGTAAAACAGCATAAAACTAATAATAAATTATGCTATTATTCACAAATACTAAAGAAAAAGGAAAAACAAAGGAATTAAATTTTTTGGAAGAAAAAAATTTTTGCTTGCAAAATCCTAGCGTAACATATATGTTACGGAAGAATTTTGTTAATTTTATTAAATCTGTGCATTAAATTGAGCCAAACTCTTCGTCAAACTTATTTTTATACTTCAATCCATCAAATAAATACACTCTAATGTCCCAAAAAAATTCCGTAATTAACGGGTTAATAAAAATTGCCAAACATCATTTCACATTTCCATACAACCATCACAACCAACGGCGCCAAAATGACTCGCAAAATGACTACCTCTTACAGTTTGTATATGCCTAAAATCATTATCTCATTAAGGGTCGTTCACTTATGAGGTCCATCAAAAAACATGACTTTTAGTCCCCTCCCTCCTTCTGTCACAAAATTGATGTTGAAAAAAATTCTTTTGTTTGAGCTATCACAAAATCCTAAACCAAATCGCTCTCCTAAATGTTGGACGTCATTAGTGAACGACCCCTTAACTCAACATTATAAATAATTCATATTTACTTTCGCGGTGTGTTTTATAAAAGTAAACTTCTTCTTATCTTTCGAAAAAGTAACAAAAATGTGCGTAAAAACAATAAACTTGAAGTGTTAATATTGTATTAATTGACTCATTTTAGAGTAATTTATTTTCAAGTCTAATCCATGCTGAAGATTCAAGTGTAAATTACGTAAAAATGAGACTTCTGTGTCCCCATCATGGGTATAGCTAGAAGAGTCTGAGCCTCCTTTAACAATTTTTAAGCCGCAGCGTGAGATCAAAATTTTTTTCAGGGGGGGCTTAGACCTTCCTGGCTACGCCCATAGTCCCCATTATAATTATTATTAATCAAGAAGAAATAATGTCAATCACCCTAATACTTAACGCAATAGCATAGCAAAAGAGGTCCAATTTTGGATTGAAATATTTTAGCCATCATACCCGCACAATCCCCAACAATAAATTAATATTATCATCTCGATTAAGATAAGATTATTGAGAGGTGTGTAATCACAACAATTTTGACTTTTGATTTAATTTTAAAAAAATTCACTCGAATTTATTTCGTTCCAGTTTACTTAGTTCGAAACAGTTGTTTTCACAGTTAAGGTTTGAACGAGCACTTGAAAGCATACAAAAGAAAAATTTTTGGGCAATAAAAAATAATAAATTTAAGCTATTTAGTGATAAATTGTAGGAAATTAATTTGATTTTTGGAATTTAAAGATTAAAAGGTATGTGAAAATGTGATTTGAGTGGATTTAATGCACACAAGCTAAAAATTGCAATCAAAAGCAACAGAAAAACGTGGAAAAATGTGAATTTTGAAATTTTTAAGTTACAAATAGAGCTTAAAAAAACAAAGCTTAACGATTTTTGCTAGTGCAGAAGCATCGCTCCATTCAAAAAAATTAAAATTGAAAGCAAACTTAATTCTTTTCAGCATCAATCTCATCCAAAAAATGCTTCAAGAAGTCCAAAGTGAAGAAGATTTTAATGACAAAATTTCATCAGCCGGAAATCTTCTAGTTGTCGTTGATTTCCATGCAACCTGGTGTGGACCATGCAAAAATGCTGAGCCAAAACTCGAGAAGCTTATTGAGAGCAATAAAGATTTAATTATGATACTGAAAGTGGACATTGACAAGATACCAGAGCTTAAAAAGAGATTTGCAATCAAATATGTACCGACATTTATATTTTTTTGGAACGGCGAGAAACTGGACGGAGTTGTCGATGAAGCAGATGTGAGGAAAGTTGAGAAATATGTCGATAAATATTTGATTAGTATAAGTTGAGTTTTTCGTCAATTAAAAGGATATAAAATGTTTAAATAAATTTAAAAAGTTTTGATAAAATTTTAAATAATGTTTGAAAAAAATAATAAATCAAATAACAATAAAAATTAATTTTCTATCAACCGTCTCATTTTGAAATTTTTACCAAGATTGATTTTTTATTTTGGAATTTTCTGAGATGGAATTTAATTTTTAAAAAAATTATTTTTAATTTTTGTTTTTTTTTTCAAATATTTTTTGATTTTTATGTTGTTAAATTACAAAAACAAGTTAAGTTTAGTGATTAAAAAGTTTAAAATTAGTAAAACTTGTAATTATTTTTATTCCAACTTAACAACACGAACTACTATTTATTTAACGGTTTTTCAATATTTAAATTTCTTATTAAAGCGTTGATTATTTTTGAAAATTGAAATCAACTGATTTTTGGTATATCCTGATCGAATTCTATAAAACTGATATGTTGCTGATTAGTGTTTGTTAAAACTTAACTATCAGAGGTTGTTTGGTGCCGAATAATAAATAAAAAAATTATCTTGCGTACCCTTGTGTGGAATTTGTGGTCTTAATTGTAATGTCCTTAGCTAAGTTGTGTTATTGGAACTAATGAAAATGCTTCCTATCAATGAACATTTTAGAATTCTTGTATCACATTTGCAAAAGACACTAATGTCCCTAACATAAGAGTGACAAAGCTGAAGTTGCATGAATTACACCAAATGCACCCTACTTTTAAGTCGACTCAGCTTCATAAAAAACTTAAGCTGAGTTCTCTGACGTCTTTAGAATGATAGAGTAGGCGTTCTTAAAACTTAGCATTGAGCTTACTTACACCTCAGCAAAAATATCAGAAGAAATTATCGATGTTCTTACTCTTGTTTAATAGATCAACATCATCATCAAGCATTTCAACTAGACAAAATACGAAAAACAGTGTCAATTCCTCTTAGTAAACTTAAATAAAGCATTGAAACACCAAAATGAAGTCCTAAATGCATCAATATTGTAAAAAGTCTCTCAGTTCTTAGGGGCTGTTCACTTATTACGTAACGCGAAAAAATGACTTTTTAGACCCCCCCCCCCCCCTCGTAACAAAATTTGTATGAAAAAAAAATTTCCTTGTTTGAACCGTAACAAAACTTTAGACCCCCCCCCCCTAAAAGCGTTACGTAATAAGTGAATGGCCCCTTAATAATTTCACAAAAATAATAAGATTTAAAATTTTTAAACTCTGCTTCGGCTCTCTTCATCACGTTTCGAGTTTTCCTCTCTCAAATACAAATCATGAGCATCAACAAAGGATTTTATAGCACATCCTCATTCCACTTCCTTAATAAAATCATTTTTATAGCAAAGGAAACTTCCAAAGGAACAAAAACAAATGGAAATGGAAGTGCCACACACAAGTCCTTTTGTATTCTCCCTCGTTTATTGAAACCATGCAGCACAATTTTATGTCACACGAGAGAATTTTCTCCCTCAAATAAATCAGCAGTTGTGATGCTGATTTTTTTTTGTGACTGGAAATAGAAGTTTTTTTGCTATATTTTTTAGTTGCTCTCAGCTTCTATGGAAATTTACGTCTCATATGGATGAAAAATGAGAATTTCTTGCAAATGTTTTGTGCCTTTCTGTTTGGATTCATAGGCTTAGTCGAATTTTTGTATATGAATTTTAATGCTCGAGTTGAGAATTTTCTGAGAAAAATTTTGTGCTTCTCGGAAATGATTTATGTGGAATGCGTTAAACTTGAGTTTGTGGGTGCTGGAACGGAAAATTTTCGGAATTAAAGCTGGATGTGGGTGGATGCTTTAAAAGGGTTTATAAGCCATGCAATATCAATTTTAAAAGATTTTATTTCATTTTTCTGACTGAGCATTCATCCAGCGGAGCGTATCTTTTTTTTTTATAGATTTTGTATCTTCAGCTTTGCGTTCTTTAAACTGGGCATTATTCAAGCTGAGCATCATTCCGGCTGAGCATCATTTCAGCTGAGCGTAATTTCAACTGAGATTCTCTCAAGCTCATTGTTACTCTAGCTGAGCGTCCTTTCAATTGAATTTTCACTACCTCAAAACTGACCTCATAATCAGTTCCAGTTTAATACTTCATTGAAAAAAATTAACCGCAACTTAATCGTCAAAAATGAAATTACTAAAAAGTCAATAAAAAAACTTTCATCTTGTAAATTAAAATCAAATTAATTCACCTACTTTCATCTTCTTCTTCCTCATCCTCATTGTCATCGAGATGTCATAAAAAATAACAATAAAATGAGAATTTTTCTTCCTTTATTAATGACAACAAAAACAAAAAAAAATTGTCATAAAAAATTATTTTTATGGGTTGTAAATTTTTTTTCTGCTCATTTATTACAAAAGGATTAATTGTGTTGATGAACTTTTTAATGTTTTTAGTTGTTAAACTTATGGATGATCGGCTCATGTGTTATATGGAGCAGCTTAATTGACTTGTGACTCGTGAAATTGGGGATTTTATTGAAAATTATTTGCAATTTAAAATTAAGATTATAAATGCCAATTGGTGGGCCTAATCGAAGCTATGACCTTAGTCAAAGCCAAGGACTTAAGCTCAACTAGGCTAATGCTTTGCATGGAAGACGCTTAACTTAAATGAAGCTTAGCATAACTAATGCTTAGTTGAAATTATGTTCAGCTTAAATGATGCTCAGCTTTGAGGCACGCTCAGCTTGAGAGACATTCAGCTTGAAAGTTCAGTTTCAAAAACTGTTAAAAATTTAAATTCGAAAAACCGTTAAATTGTTTTAAAATTTATATGATTTTTATTAAACTTGAAAGCACTTCAAAAATGTCCTCGTTCAAACAAAAAACTTTAAATGTCCCTCGCATGATTCATTCCATTTGATTATTATTGCTATTGTTCTTATCATCACATCCATTAGAGGCGAAACTTCATTGTCATAACATGAATGTATGTCTCTGTTTGCCACACATGAGTTTGTCTATCACAAAAAAAAGCAGCAGTAGAAAAAAAGTTTCATCAACCTAAATGACCATTATGAGTTTCTTTATTAAATTTTTATGATAATTAACTTCGCTTCTGTTGCTCCTCATTACCGAGTACTTTTTTTTCTCCCTTGTTTACTTTATTTCTGCTTATGTGCTTTTGTCTTTTGAAGCTCGAATGTTGATGACTCAATAGCTAGAAATGACATAAAAAAATAAATAATTTGTTCTGTTGGACGTGAGGCTCTTGATAATATGTTGAATCCAAAAACTTTGCAATCAAAATGCAAAGAGTAAGAAAATTTTAAGAAGATATGAAAGCTTTACTTTCAATTATTATTTGAATTGGAAATGGATTAGAGATTAGTTCACTGAGCTCAAATCTTAACTGAAGGAATTGTAAGCTTAAATGATGCTCAGCTTTAAAGACTCTCGACTATAACGCTCAGCTTCAATGATGCTCAACTGTAATGACACTCAGTTTCAACTATGCTCAGCTATAATGACGCTCGGCTTCAATGATACTCGGTTTCAATGATGCTCAGCTGTAATGACGTTCAGCTGAAATGACGCTCAGCTGTAATGACGCTCGGCTTCAATGATACTCGGTTTCAATGATGCTCAGCTGCAATTATGCTCAGCTTTAATTATGCTCAGCTTTAATTATGCTCAGCTTTAATTATGCTCAGCTCAAATGACGCTCAGCTTCAAGGATGCTCAGCTGTAATGACGCTCAGCTTCAAAACACTTAGCTTTAATTCCGTTTAGTTTTATATGAGGCTCAACATTAATGACGCTAAGGTTTCATGATGCTCAGCTCCAAAGACGCTCAGTTTCAATGATGCTCAGCTGTAATGACGTTCAGCTGAAATGACGCTCAGCTGTAATGACGCTCGGCTTCAATGATACTCGGTTTCAATGATGCTCAGCTGTAATTACACTCAGCTTTAATTATGCTCAGCTCAAATGACGCTCAGCTTCAATGATGCTCAGCTGTAATGACGCTCAGCTTCAAAACACTTAGCTTTAATTCCGTTTAGTTTTATATGAGGCTCAACATTAATGACGCTAAGGTTTCATGATGCTCAGCTCCAAAGACGCTCAGTTTCAATGATGCTCAGCTGTAATGACGTTCAGCTGAAATGACGCTCAGCTGTAATGACGCTCGGCTTCAATGATACTCGGTTTCAATGATGCTCAGCTGTAATTACGCTCAGCTTTAATTTTGCTCAGCTGAAATGACGCTCAGCTTCAATGATGCTCAGCTGTAATGACGCTCAGCTTCAAAACACTTAGCTTTAATTCAGTTTAGTTTTATATGAGGCTCAACATTAATGACGCTAAGGTTTCATGATGCTCAGCTCCAAAGACGCTCAGTTTAGATGATGTTCAGCTTTAATGACGCTTAGCTTCAATAATGCAAAGCTTTAAAGATGCCTTAATAGCCCTCAACTTCAACGATGCTTTAATGTTGCTCAGTTATCACTCAACAATAGAATACTCAAATCTTAAAATTCATTTAATTACTCAATATTTCAACTTCCAAAGAAATATTTTCCATCCCATAAGCCTCTTCTCCACCAAACATTTTCACAATTTCCCTCTGTACAAAAATAAAATTAAACGAAATTAATAATCACATCACTAAAGTTCAACTGGCATTGATGATGCTTGCAGTCCTCATAAATACTTGCTCCAAACTTACTAATTCAACATAATGAGAACTAAATGAATGCCGAAAATGAAAATCATCAACAACAAGCAGGCAGCAAATAAAACTACTTTTTCAAATGAATGAGACTGAACTACAGCAAGCTATCATGCTGTATGTGCTGTGTGATGAGACTGATTTAATTATGCATAAATAAGCTCATAAATTTTAGTTGGAAAATGGAAAATGAAAATGTTTTTTGATGATTTTTAAGCGAAGGCTTTTGGTGAGTTTTTTGGAAAACCATTTTAATTTAAAAGTTTTGTAAATTGAATTTTAGGGGTTTTATGAGGAAGTAAATTTACAGTGAATTTTGGAATTAATTTTTCCGTTTAATTTGGAATAACATTTATTGATCTTTATGCAGACTGCTGTGCGGTGTTGAAGTAATAGTTTCAATTTGAGAGGAAAAAGGTTTAGTCAAAAATTAATCGTTAACGCTTTTAAACTGTTTTAGAAGTTGAAAGTTCTGGGGGAACTTCTTTTGAGTCTAATTTTGGTTGTTCATAGATGATGTTCAATTTATGCCAATGGGAAACCATAGCAAATAGGGGTTGACGTTCTAAAACTCTCTGATGTCCGACATTATTAAATAGTTGATTTATTTTATCAAGGAGGAGCTCGAGGGTTCAAATCTATCCATCCTCTTGAAGAGTAAAGTTCTTTAAATTTGAAAAAAAAAATCTAATGAGCCTTAAAGTCATGTCCTAATTAGCTACACAATTCTAATGTCACGTAAACAACATTTCATTCTCCATGAGTCAAAAAAGCCATTAGCTGCAAATAGAACTCGATGTCACAGCAACATTTTTTCTCGGAAGTCATAGCAACCATTATAATTGAGCTGGAAACGATATTTTGTCATTAAAAGTCATTGCAAACACACACCTGCGTAGGCATTAGAAGCTTCTTACAGACTTATTAAGAAACACATCAAAAAATATTCAATAAATTCATCATGTAATGATGAACATTTATTGAACCAACTATAAATAAGATAAATTTCAAGGGAGATAACAACATGTTTAACAATAATTTTGCTGGGAATTTGTTTAAATTCAACCTCAAGTTTTCTTTAAATATTTGAAAATTTTAATTTTATCAAAACTTTTTCCCATCATGTTGTATCCCCCTTGATAATTTTTGTTATTTTTCTTCCTCGTTGAAAGACAGAACGTAGGTGTTTGGAAATAAAGAAGCTGATGCGATACAAAAAAAAGGAGATTCAAAGAGGCGTTGAAGCAGTTGAGATCCTCAAAAAGGTGTCGATTGAGAAAATAAACAAAGCACTTGAATGGGTCTTCTGAGTTGATGAAGTGGATATAAAGAAGATTATTTTGATGAGAAAAAGTTAAAGTTCAGGTTTGAGTGAAGAATTGTGAAGATTTGATAAGTAAAATTACTAATTTTGTGAATTCTACTGGAAAAATTTCAAACATTCAGAACAAAAGTTGCCAAAATAACAAAAGTTTTCTTAATTTATCCCTTAAAGATTGAAAAAAACAGTGAAAAGTTTAGTAAAACTTGACAAAATTAGAAATAACCAAAAGAAATCAACAGAAATGAAAAAATTCATCAAAAAAGTAAAGCCGTAAAGGCCAGGGGCCACCCGGGATTGAACCGGGGACCTCTCGATCTGCAGTCGAATGCTCTACCACTGAGCTATAGCCCCACATGTGTAGATCTTGACAAAAACGTGTATTTAAGCTGTCGTGAACATTTTCATTTTCAACTTGTGTGCACGAAAGTGAGGAAGAAGAGGAATATGGGAAACTGAGCGATGACTGTTCAAAAGAGTGAATCATTATTGGCAATCAAACTAAATGGAACAGCTTGAAAAATGAAACACAAAATTTCTTAAACAAAACTGAATAAAATGTCAGAAATTATTTATTTTGGATTTAATGATCAAAAATTATCGGAAGATCCCAAGAAGCCTAGACCCTCCTTCCGCCGTCCTAAAAATTGCATGAAAAAAAAATTGAAACTCTCCAAAAAATCAAAATATAGAAAATAAAAAAATTTGGACCTCGTTCCTTTATGAACGGTTAGACAAGAGGAGTAACAAGCAAGGGAGCAGACAGAACTCTAGTTGGGGGAGCTATGACAAATACATTTGCTGTGCTTTAAAGTCAGACCCTCTTGACTCTGCACCTACTTGAAATTCAACCCAACCAAAATTGCATAATAAAATATCAAAAACCACCATTAAGTTCCCCCCATAAGCCAGTCAACAACTCATCAAACAATTTTTCAGTCTGCAAATCTCGTTCGACAGATTAACCCACAAAAAATAATTCCAAATCCACACAGCAAGTGCATGAAGTGATTTTAGATTATCTAATTTAATTGTTTTTTGTAATTTGATATTCAAAAGACTTGCGAATAATTCGCAAATGTGACAAAACTTTTTATTTGCAAAAAATTAAACAATTTGTTTTGTTTATTTATTTAATTTATTTTTATTTTGGTTTATTTTTGTAAAGTGGAAGTAAAAAGACAGAGTTTTTAAAGTTTGTGAATCATTTTGTGGTGATTTGTGTGAAGAATCGGACATTGTGTGATTTTTAACTTTTAAAACTTTATTTTTTGTGTCTTTTTGTCATTTTTGATTTAGAATGTGCTATTTATTTAAAAAAAAATAAATTAAAAGATTAAAATGTGAATATTATGTGCAAATATGAAAAATTTATCGTTTTAATTTTGTTAAAATTTTTGGTGAATTAGAAAAAAAAAAGGAAAAAAGTTAAAAATAGTTTAAAATGTCAACAAAAAACTAAAAAAGATTTAAAGAAAATGAAATAAAAATTAAAGTTTAAAGAAAATTTAAAAAAATATTTTAAAGTATATTAATCAATAGAGCTGTTGAGTAAAAATAAATATTTTATTAAAAAATGGAAAATCTTTGGAACACAACATTTAACTTTTGGATTGATAATGCAGATCCTAGAGGTGCTCAGTGGCTCCTAACATCGAGTGTATTTCCAATTATTATTATTGATGCAACATTTTTACTTTTAGTACTTGTGAGTGATTTAAGAATTTTTTTCACTGAGCTTAACTGGGTTTTATGCCAACGTTGGTCAGCTTAATGAGCTACAATCTTTAAATAAAAACATCAAATGGTTCAGTAGAAGGAAGATGTCGAAGTAATTAATCGATGGGTCCAAAATTTCGAACTAGAGAACGACTTTATCTTCTGGCTAGCCCAGTGTTGTCCAAACTGTGCGACTTCGGTAATCGCTTACTTTTCTGGTATGCCGTGCTTCAAAAACTTTGGACAACACTGAGCTCGACTCATGTTTTTTGAAAATATCTTTTTTCAATTTTTGTTTCTTATTTCCAGCACATTCTCCCATCAATCCTTAAATCTAAAAAGTACGAGAATTACAAATTTATTTTAGCAACTTACTACGTCATCCACAGTCTACTGAGTGCATTCTTTGCATGTCTCTGTATTGTCTACCTTATTGCTCTTCATATTCACACGAATTACCATTTCGAGTTGGTGAAAATTTAATTTTATTTCCATTTTTTTGATAATTCCTAACAAGATTCTTAACAGTTTGATTTCAGTACGATGTATACCGATTGTTCAGTCATTTGAAGGTATTCACTATGAGGTAAGTGATAAGTGAGGATTTTGTTTAACTTTTGATGGACTGAAGCCAGTTGCTCAGTTGTGTGTACCCAAAAATAACATTGAAATTTAGAAATTTCTCTTTTAGATTGCTGTGTGGATGTACGTCTGGCTATGGTTTAAAATATCAGAAATGATCGAGACCATCCTGATTATCATTGTCTATGGACGAACAACAACATTCAATGTGATTCATCATTCATTACATCCATTGTAAGTTTTACTTGACTAGTGAATTTGTCAATTTGATAATAATTATCAATTTATTTCCAGAATGTTGGCTATGGGCATGCACTTTTACCTTGGTGACTTAAATCCTTTTTTTATAGTTTACCAGGTTTTTATTAAGGTTCTTTTAAAGGTGGAAGTGGCGCCATTTTTGGATTCCTTAACAATGTTGAGCATGCTTTCTTGTACTTCATAGTTGCAGTCAGAATGGCTTCAAATCAATTTAAAAAAAGGTCACAGCCGTGGTTCAAAAAATTTCATCTTATTATCTCAGTAAGTTCAAATTGCCTATAGTAATCTTAATATTGATACTTTTATGTCTTCAGATTGGTGCCTTGATAGTGTCAGCGATGTTCTTCGTTCCTTTGGTAAGTTTAAATTCATTTATTGATCCTAAGAGTTGTTACTTAAGAACTGAGTGGGACAAGCAGAAGAAAGCTTGATCTTCAATGATGGAATGACTTCTTTGCACTGCAAACCACTAATGAACAAGCGATGCATCAGGAAACCCAAGAAATTAGCGCAAGGGGTTCACAATTAACGCAATACTCAACTAAACCGAACCCTACTAAAGGAAGTCCAACTAAAGTTACTTCCAACTACTTTCTTTCCAGAGAATTTTAGGTCCATGCGAATATGAGACATTCAACACAGTCATTTTCATGTGCCTGCTAATCTTCCTTTGTCTCTCCATTACATGTCGATGGAATTACATATCACATAAAGATGCATTTGGAAGGACGAAGCTCATCGTACTCATTAATAAGAAAGTTAAATTAATTTCTATGAAACATTAGAAGAGTTGTTATAATAATTACTAGGATTAAACCCGTCAAGCATGAGCTGGATTAATTGATTAGCATCCACAAGATCTAAGCTGAATAATTAATCAAAACAGCAGCTCCTAGAACCCATTCTTATGCATTCCAACTGTAAAATAAATATAAATGTAAACCTAACCTCAAAAGTTCAATGATTACCAACAATTTAAATTCCTAACCTGAATTAAATTGATCCTTAACTATCTTACTATCCTGAATTGAACCATCAAAATGAGTTCAACATCCTTGACATTAGAGCTCCTAACCCCACAAAAGAGGTGAAAAATGCTGCCACAAAAATTAATGTCATCCATAAATTCTAATCCACAAGAAATTCGTAATAAATTTACAAATCCCACGCACTTTTATACATTTCAGTAAAACCCCATCGATCTCATAAATCTTCAAAACTTCTTTCACATTTTATCCACCTCGAAAATCCGAGAAACCCAGAAAGAGAATCGAGCTCACACTTTATCAGTGGCACTTAATTAATTTTCATTTTTACGACCGTCCGTACACATAGTATGCATATCGCACGGACATGCCGAATGCCAAAAAAAGAAGTAGACATTCATTCAATTGGACAATGTCGAGAATCTTATTTGTCGGTAGCAAATTACTATGAAAATTGTCCCATAAATGTCCATATCGATATAAATGTATATTTTAGCATCTACAAATGCTATGGAAGCTTAATTGTGCAATTTATGGGTATGACGATGGGCACTCGGGTAAATGGAAATTGGATTTTTTCTTCTTACCAATTTGTTATTGGTCAGTCATTGATGCTCTTTTATTGTGTGGCTGAAGATGTTGAAAAATTGAAAATTAATTTTTTTTTTGTCTGAGTTTTGATTTTGTTTTCTAGGTTTTGGGGTCAAATATTTTATTTTGAGGGTTTTGTGGTTCTATTAACTATTTTTTCAAAGGAAGGGGTCGTTCAGTTATACTTACTTACTTCGATGACCTTACAGATCGATTATGATCTATGGTCTCCCTTAGATGCTGCCTAAAACTGGCTCTATCACTAGTTACAGCTTGTCAATTTCCTATACCAAATGCAATACTGTCTATCAACAGCCTTGCTTGTTGAACCCCCCTCTTTCGCAGTCATAAGTAAACGGACCTTATTAATTCTATACAAAAAACCTAATAAAGCCACAATAATTCATTAAATTTAATGAGTAATTTTCCTGAAGACTAAAAAAATCATTGAATTTATTCAAGTTTAAAGAAAAAAAAATCAGCAGTTGCCTACTTAAAGCTATTTTCAATCCTCTTGACATCTTCTTGTTTACTTACATCCAACAACATTTAACATCGAGTGTCTGACTTTTCTCATTTCTTCATGCTGACTACTTCACATTATTGTTGTTCCTTCTCTTTCTCGCAATTCTTTAACTTCTTTTTTTGGCACAAAACCGATGAGCTTGCAGAAAAGGAATTGAGTACGAGATTTTATGAAGAAAAAAGATGTGAAAAATTGGAATTTTATGGCGAATATGAAACTATCTGTTCTCGCTTACGTTCTCGTTTATTGTCGATTCTGTGTCTGATATTTTATTTGTTCACCGTCTCTACTTTTGCGGACTCGATGTTTTTATTTGAAGCTATTTTATCTGCAGACTAAGTAGGACATTACGTTGAGTAGCTCTTTGACTTGGTTGGATGGTTTATTGATGAATTGTGTTTTGAATTCTGTAAAATTATGTCGATGATCCGCTTATAATTTGCCACTTCTTCAATTATCCGCTAAGATTTTGTCATTTTTGCTAAGTAGCCGCTTAATATCTGCCACTTTTTCAACTATCCGTTAAAAATCTGGCACTTTTGTCAATTATCCGCTAAAAATCTGCCACTTCTGCAAATGAACAGTTCAAAATCTGCCACTTTTGTCAATTATCCGCTAAGATTGTGTTACTTTTGTTAAATATCTGCCAAAAATCTGTCAATTTTTCAATTATCCGTTAAAAATCTGCCACTTTTGTCAAATATCTGCTCAGATTCTGTCACTCATTTTCAAAAATTCAGCAACTTTTGTCAATTCTCGGCTGAAATTCTGTCACTTTTGTCAATCATCTGCTAAATCTCTGCCACTTTTGTTATTACTTAATACTCAATCGCTTTCCTTCATAAAATGCACCACAGCCTCCATCATCACTCCAATCACCTTACAACTTTCATTCATTGTCGCTTGAACTTTCGAATTGTTTATTTCAATTTGATGATATTTTTTTTGTGCTTCTTTTTTTCGAGTCTCTCTTTTCCTTTCTATCTCTTTTCGTCGATTGTTAATAAATTGGAATTTAATGAATGGAATTCTTTGGAGCGGAATTTTCTTTTATTAAACAATTTCTTTTGAAGGACTCGACGATGCTTGTGTGTTTATGAGCGGTTTTTTTTTTTATTTTTGTGTTGTCTTAGTTTTGACGTTTAATTGTTTTTCAGTTGGTTTCCTTGGACTGTGCCTCACGTTAAGCCTCCTTCAACTCTCTATTTTCAGCGTTTACAAATTTAAGTTTTCAAAGAAAAAAATTCAGTCTACATCAAATTTGAACCTAATGAACCAGCAAGCATGCATCTCAAGTTCTAATAAAAGAACAAAAACTTCTCAAAATAATATTTTTTTTAATGTTCACATAAACGCTTTTGTTCGTTTAGTGAGAAAGTTTTTGAAGTTAAGAAGATTAACGTTAAGTGAATAATTGATGAATAATGATGAAAACGTGGTGCAACGTGTCTTAACTTTCAAACTTTCCAGACTGTTTTGAGACTGTCTTTGCATGTGTGCATAATATTTTCTGATAATGAAGTTGTTTTGCGGGTTTTTCTGTCTGAACTGAGCGGAAGTGGTGTTAAACTATGAAAATCTAAATCATCAATCGCCAAAATAACTCCATGGACCTTCTTATTCTCCCTAAAAGCTCATAAAAACAAAAAATATCCTATAATTTAACAAAATACCAGTTCATCATCACAATAATAATTAATGGCCCCCAAAAAACCACCAGTTCCTCCCACCAAAACCACAAAACTCAGTCACAACTTTATCAATCTTTTCCACTTCCAAGCATAATTTTCCATAGGTAAGAAATTCCATTTCATTTCCCTCACCCACTTAATTGAGTTGTTTACGTTTGTAAAGACACACCGACCAGCCGACTGAGCGAGATGGAAACAGAATGAAACTTTCTTTTCCTTCATTTTTTGTATGGAAAGACTGTGAACGATGGTCCGTAAAGTAAATTAAGGATCATCATTATCTTCATCTTTTCCTAATTATCTTAATGGGTCTATTTTTCTCTCTTTTTTTGGTCGTTCCAATTTTTTCTTTCTTTTTTCGTATTGAATGGATTTCTGCCTTGCTGGTGTTCTTCTCTCGACGGTAAATTTTTTTGAACGATGAAGTTTTTTTATTAAAATTTTTTGTTGAGCTTTTAAGCGGGATGAATTTAGTTTATAATATGGAAATGGCGGAAGGAGGTGAGCACTGTGGTACTGGATATCGTTCAGTGTGAGAAAAAATGACACAATTTAACCAAAGCTTTTATTATGTGGAGCCAAAAACTTGTGTGGCCATGTGTCACACTAAAAAGCATAAATCTTAAAAACATAACTCGAATTCAACCTTCTCTAAGCACTTACCAAATCTTTAAATCAGGTTGTTCCTTATAAATCACAAAAATCCTTAAAAATAATACCCAGGCACCAAAAATCCGTTACACTCAACTTTCAAGAACACTTACACTTATTTATTAAGCACGTTTAAAGCTTCTATCTTATACAAATCAGAAAATCCCATCCCAAAACCTCAAACTCCATTTCATACTCTCCACAAGTCAAACATTAAAACAATTTTCCAAAAAAAATAATTCTCGGTAATTAATCAAAATATCATAAAATGAAAAGCAAACTTGAAAGCATCAGCATTAAAATTTCCATAATCATCCCGAAAAAAAAATCCACCGTCATCATCTCATCATGAATATAACTTCCGTTTGGATTCATGTCTTTGGGTTTATTTGTAAATGATGTCTTTTTTGGGGTAAGTTCTTGTAAAACTCTTATTTTTGAGTATCTTTAATATAAACACCCAAATTTCCTCCCTGACTCTAGAACGGAAGCCATGTGAAGCTATTTTTGAAGCCAACGATTTGGGGACAAGTTTAAGGGATCCATGATGGAGGGGGCACTGACAAGGTGGGTGTCAGGTGTGGAGGGGGGAGGATGTGTATTTTGTGAAGCCATGTGAAGTTATGTTGGAGTAACTCTAAAAACATGAAGGTTATATGCGTCTTACAAAATATTAATCAAATTTAAAACCCTAATAATGTGTGCCCCAGAATAACCTAGTCTTTGATAATTAATTGGTTCATCCCCGACCCGGCGACAAACTTCTTTACTGCAACACGTTGTTCTATCATATGCCTTAGAATAGTGATGCCCAATCCGTGTGCCGAGAAAAATTTTTGGGATTTTTAAGAACCTGTATGCAGTTTTAGTTATGGTTTAACACCAAGTGTGCCGTGGTACACAAAAGGTTG